GCCAGGATTCGAACTCGCGACCTCCCGCTCAGCAGACCGGTGCTCTCCCAACTGAGCTAACCGGGCGGCGGTTATATGTCCCTAGTCTGAATTCCAAAACCTGTCGTTCCATGTTTTGAGGAGGAAGTCATGTAGCTGTCAGTGTTTAACTATTGTATTTGCGCTTTTCTCTGCCGCAGTCGCAATTTCAACCTACCGTAAAATTCCGAAAATATGCCCCGGGGCTTATAATTTTCAAAGGCCCTTTTTGAGGGGCTTATTTTTGGAGGGGCTTACCTATGGAGGGAAATTTGCGTTTCAAAATTGATTGGGCTAGCCTTATAGTTGGAAGTAAATTTAAGGTTTTTGCTTTGTTTTACTTTGTATTTGAGGGTAATTTTCCAAGTACAAGTCCCCGGAGGGCTTATATTTGGAGGGGCGATTTAACAGAGGGCTTTTGGCCTTACTGGTTTGGGGGGCTTATATTTGAAGGGGCTTATACATGAAGGGGCTTATTTTCGGAATTTTACGGTATCTTTGTGTTGTTTGTCGCCATTTCTGCTGTCCTATGTCACTGTTTCAAGGTCATGTCGCTGGTTGGAATTTTTCCCAACACAGGGCCTCCTTAATGTTCCAAGAGTTGGGGAAGGGTGGTAGTCACAGGTAGAATTGTACCCTAGCTGCATTAGGTTGCTTTTTTGTCCCATTAAATGGGTCATGGATGTGAAACATCGGCGATTCCTTAACCCAAGGATAAGTTTTCCATATCACCCGCTGAAAATGTCATGTTTTGGCTCACACAACTGAGAATACGAAATTTGATCAACAATAGGTGGTTTTCATGCAATCTCGGGAGACACAAATAACAATGGTGAAATGAACAAATGCTGGTGGACAAACAAAACGAGCTAATGAGCAATCTTTTGTTTACCGTCCACCAGCATGGCGGCGATGACGTAACGTGAAAACTACCTATTGTGACATTGTCAAAAAACAATCTAAGTGTCAGTTAAAGCGATTAAAATAAATTTAAAGAGCACTGCACCAAAACAATGAACAATGGCCAACGAATAATCTAACCTTCCAAAGATTTAGAGTATGTCCAGTTATCATAAGCTATCCATCTATAATTGACATCATTAAACCGGAAATAAGGATCCATAATGGTTCCATTGCGGTACAGGACTGTATGTACATTTCCGGGAACTTCTCCAGCCACGGATATGCTTTTATTTCCATTTCGAACAATCCATGTACCTGCTAGATTGATTTCTATTGCGGCAGAACATATCAGATGAAGATAACTAAATGCGAAAACTAAAATGAAGATCAAATGTCTCATCGCCATGTTGGAAAGTCGGAAGATGATCTCATGTTTACCTCGTGAGCCTGTAACCAAAACGATCAGCGGCATAAACAAAATGGCGGCAAATTTCCTTGCTGTTGGTGCAGAGTCTTGAACTCGAAAAATGGCGCCTAAGAAGGAGAAGAAGAAGCGCATTCAGCTTTGTAATGCCCGTCAGATAATCTCTAGCTTCTACGCCAAACTATTTACGTTGCTAAGCTTCATTCGCAAAGTGAAAAAGGAAAGCGGCGAACAACTCATTCAAGATGGCGACCCCGCGGATTACAAGTTTCTTCTTAAATCAACCCTCGTGGCCGTTCCTCGAGATCTGTCGAAAGCCCCGCCATTCAAGCCGAGCAACACGCACTGGTTTACGTTGAAGGAGATAACCAACCGTGTGATCGAGGATGTTTGCCGTTCAAACAAGAGCAATGTTCTCGCTCTCGGCTTTGAGCCCCTCAGAGGGAACGGAAGAAGTGGAACAGTGGCTGGGACTATTGGAATACAGAACAGCTATCCAAATACGATCGTCAGCTATATAAGAACATCCAAAGCGTGGCTGCTGCTTCATGAGCGCGTAGGAGATGATTTGATGATTCATCTGCTACAGAACGTAGCCATGTTTGTAAAGTCCACTTCAAAGTGTTATTTCCAGGTGGCAGGGTTTCCCATAAGCCGTATGTCTCCCTTCACAGAAAAGGGCGTCGATGCACCAGATAAACTCGGCAGCATCAAGCGCAAGAAACAAAAACCTACCGATGAAGGAGAGAAAGCAAGTCACTCGATGAGGAAATTGCGGAGAGGGGGAAAAAGGATGAGAAGATCTCGCCAAAATTTCGCCAAAGAAAAAGATCACGAAGCGTCGACTTCAGACATTGTTGTTTCTGCGTTTTGTGAAAACACACTTAGACAAGAACATATTTGTGACGAAGCTGCAAAAAATACGAGAACCTCTCCAGTGACTGCAGCCCAACTCGAACAGCCTAAATCCCGCAAGAGAAGGGCAAGCGACAACTTAAGCGATAATCAAGAACCAACCTCGAAGAAAGCAAAAACGTCTTTAAGCGTTGAAGATTCGCCCTTGTTATTCCCAACAGAGCCCGAAGGAAAATCTCGAAACCTTCCTGTCAGTGATCACACCGTGAGATCTTACTCTACTTCAGATCGTGATAACGTGACTGAGCAACGTGGGAAAAATTCAAATTTCCTTAGTCCAATGAAAGATTGTTGCGAAGATTCTGAGAGGAAGAGAACAAATCAGAACGCTGAAATTTCGATGAGTTCAACAGAGGATGGATTAACAACAGGAAGTGATACTGAAGTTTCACCTTTGCTGTTTCCAGAAGAAACTAGTGAAAAATCTACGGAAGAGCCAACCTGTAGCGCCAGTGTCAGATTGTCTTCAAATAATGATGTAGCCATAGCTTTGTTTCAAGATGACGCTGAGACTGTTGTCCCGTGCGTTGATAGTGGCCGAGTTGGAGATGACTTGTGCAGAAGCGACGATAAAGAGATGAAAGCCACGCCGGTGGAAATGAAAGAAGTGCGAAAAAGAAAGAAGCCCTTCTCTGCTGCTGGGGCAAAGGAAGAGGAGAAAACAAATTTAAGGAAAAGGAAGAAACCTTGGAAGTGTCTGTTAAAACTTTTACCACAGCCGGAGCAAGGAAAATCCCCGAGAAAGAAAACATCGGCAACCAAGTTTAAAGGTGAAGGCAAATCAGGAAAAATTAACAGAAAAGAATCAAAGAAATTGCGTAAAAACCAATCGACATCGAAGACGCATCACGGGATCGGTATGAATGACCTTTACTTGCCACGCACAAGGCTATTTTATGCTTCAAATCTCTCACAGAAACTTTCCAAGAAACATGTGATGGAGGCAACGCCCGTCAGTATGAACGGAGCTCGTAAGCTTGTTCATCGCATCTTTCTGGAGGGAAGCTATGTTGGAAATGGTAAAAGTGATGTCCAAAATGCCAAGAACGTGACAGGAACCTCGAGCAACCAAAAGCAAACACCAACCAAGAATGAAAAAGTTACAAAGGGTGGTCAAAATGCCAAGAACGCGTCAGGAGTTTTGAGCAACCATAAACAAACACCAAGCAAGAAAAAGAAGCCATTCCGTCTGCCAAAGAGACTGAAGAGAATAGTCCCCCTCTTTTTGATGTTCCTGGCCAGACATCGAAAGTGTCCTTTCCAGGTTCTGTTAAAGCATCATTGCACATTCAGTGAGAGGAGAGCACGAGTGATAAAGAGTGGCAAGAAGAAAGGACGCCTCTTCAGCACTCCTAAGACAACGATGTGGAGCAAACGTCGTTTGAAAAGACATGGCTCGAAGGTTGTTAAACGCCCGCCTGGTAAGAAGAAAATCAAAGTTGATGTGTTGGTTTATCGACATGCTGTCAGCAACTACACAAGGCATGATCAGGTAAGACAGTCTTGGATATCTGGATTCTATGCCGTGGATTCTTGATACCAGGTACTGGATTGGGGTTTCTTGTCAGAGGAACTTGGATTCCGCATTCCAATAATTAGTGAGATTCCGGATTCCTTGAGCTGTATTCCGGATTCCAAAGCCCAGGATTCCGGATCCAAAGAGCAAAATGTTGACCGATTCCGAATTCCACACACAAAAATTTCTCGGATTCTGGAATCCGGATTTCCTTACATGGACCGAAATACTGGTTCTCATATACCGCAAGAAAGAAATACGCCCCCTTTCCCAATTAGGCTTAGCCTGTTCCAGGCTCCGAGATAGTCGGGCCTGCTGAATTGAGAAAGCGCGAAGACTAAAATAAAACGGGAGATCTGAGAGCCTGGAACAGGCTAAGTTAGGCTCTGCCGCTGCTTGATTTTTCTGCATCCCCAACATTGCCCCATGCGTGTTCTTGCTGCTAATTAACCACCAACAAAAAGTTTGATTTATGCCGCAGGTTATTCGTTTTCTGGAGTGTGTCTGTCACAAGGTCGTTCCAAAGGAGCTGTGGGGATGTCCACACAATAAGAGAACGTTTCTTCGTAATTTAGCGAAGTTTCTTCGACTTCATCGCGGTGAAAAATTTTCTCTGGGCCAGATGATGGAGGGCATCAAGGTTTCAAAGTGTGAGTGGCTCAAGATGAAAGCAGCGGACAAACGCAAATTTGTTCCACTGTCTGATTCACGAAAGCAACAGCAGCTTCTCTCTCAGTTTATCTGGTGGTTTGTCACGCAGTATCTTATGCCCTTAATCAAAAGCTTTTTTTACATCACAGAGAGCGGAACCAACCGCCAAAGAATTTTCTATTACAGAAAACCAGTGTGGAGGAAGATCCAGCAGTTTGGTATAAACATGTTATGCGGCGAATTCTTTAAGCCGTTGAAGACGAAAGAAGCCGAAAGGCTACTCAGCAGCAAATCCTCTTTGGGTTTTTCTCCGCTAAGATTTATACCCAAGAGCTCAACAGTACGTCCCATTACCAACATGAAACACTGCCCGTCAATCAAGGAACCAACCAACGCCCAGAAACAGCAGTCTATCAACAGAAAACTTCAGAATCTGTTTGAAGTGCTGAAATTCGAGAAGGAGCGGAATGCGAAGAGCCTGGGAGCCACCTTGTTCGGCAATGACGATCTTTACCGAGTTCTGAAGCCGTTTGCCGAGCGTGTACGAGAGTGTTTGGACGGAAAACCGCTGTTCTTTGTTCACGTGGACGTGAAACATTGCTACGAGTCCATCCCACATCAAAAATTGTTTGATATCATGAAGGGAATGTTTGAGGAGGAGGAGTACTTAATTCGACGTTTTGCGTTGTTACGAATGTCTTCGGGCAAGGTTTTCAGGCAAGTTTTGCGTAAAATGTTACGGTCCAGTTTGATTTATTGGAAAAAAATTGAAAGGAACTTCTCTGATGGAATTTGCACCTTTTTTGATTTTCCAGGGAATTTTACAAACACGTTAGCAACGTAGATGACTGTCGTTCGTTTCCAGATTTCTTCCAGTCCTTGATAACCGCGTGGAAACTGAAGCGAAACGTAGCAGTGGATCAAGTATGGTACCTAACGGAAGACCGCGACAAACTGATTAACTTGCTAAAGGAGCATGTCTTTAACAACATCGTGAGAATTGGAAACAACTATTATCAACAAATAAAGGGTACGTATTCGCTGAAGATTTACTATTTCTATACGATTTGTTTCTTTGTTTTGGTCGCCCAAGTCGTAAGGTTGAACGTTCCTTCGCACTTCGTTCTGTACGAACAGGATGATATTTTTCCAAGCTGGCACCCCTTATAATGATTCCTGTAATCTTTTTCATCGCATTGTAGACTTTGCGCTTTTCACCTGCTTGTTACCAGTTCCATGTTTCCCGTGCGTGGCACTGTGTTTAATGTTTTCCCGCGCTTGGCAATGGTTTCAATATTTCCCGCACTTTGCAATGGCAGTGGCTGTAATGTTTCCCGCGCTTGGTAACAGGTGTACGTTTTTCTCATTAGGCAATGATTGAATGTTTTTCCACGTTTGGCGTTGGGAGTATCTCTTTCCACGTTTGGCAATGGGTGTAATTTTTTCCGCCCTTGGCAATAGGTGTATGATTGTGTTTTTATGCTTGGCCGTGTTTGGAAATTGGTGCAATTTTTCCCGTTAGTTAATGTTTTCCCACCCTTGGCGATGACTGTGTGTGTTTCTAGCGCTTGGCAGTCGATTCATGTATTTTCCCGCTCTCGGCAATGGGTGAATATTTCTCCGCACTTGGCCCTACGCGTATGTCTCCCCAGCTATCATTTAAGTCTTTTAACGATCGCCCACACAGCTGGAACCCTAGTGTTGATGCCCGCTGTTAGCCCATTCGCACTGCAGTGCTGTACGCCGAGTTTATAACAATTTCTAGATTATCCGACCTACATCCACTGAGATGAATGTGATGCCTTATACCTTGTAACTGTTTGTTTCCATGAACCAATTCGTGCTTTTTCAAAAACATTCTAAATAAAACCTTCCCTGTTCGCAATCCCAAATTGTTGCTTAAGATTGCGGCCAAAACTAAACAAAGTTTAATCCTCACACAATAACTAAACACACCCAGTAGAGAACGCTATCCATCTTATTAAAATCTAGGGCCTGGATCTGATTGATCAACTATCAATTAGAAGTTTAAAAACTAAAACCCACATCGAACGGCTAACTTACGTAGTAACTTAAATACCCTGTAGTCACACTCTCACTTCCAAACTGATTTTTTTGTTTTCTACTTTACTAAGAGATATGTCGCTTGGCATGTTTACCGACAGTGCGCCAATTTTTCCCGTGCCCCCCCCCCACCGGCACGCGGCGAACAACAGCCACGTCCTCTTCCTACCCCTCGCTCCAACACCGCGCTGACATACCCCACATTGCCGCCCACACCCTCTAGACCAACAGTTTCATTCTGCCAGTTTCATTCATCTCTAATCCTACAGTAACTCTTACGCGTCCCCCCCCCCCCCCTCCTCCACCTCCCCCCGCTCGCTGTCGCTCTCTCTTTCTCCCCCTCCCCCTCTCTCTCCATTAGTGCTCCATCTTACGGGTATTTAAAGCTACATGGAAAGGGAAGGAGTCGAAAGATCGATTTATGGTCACACCTGAGAATGGAACTCGGGACGTCCCGCACAGAAGGTCGCCCACTAACCATCTGTCCTAATCCTTAAACGCACGTTTTATTCCTTCGTTTAGGGATAGCGCAAGGGTCCATCTTGTCCACAATGCTTTGCGGTTATTTCTACAGTGACATGGAGAAGACTCACCTCTCAGAGATTTCCCAGGATCCCGACTCCCTCTTACTAAGATGGGTGGACGACTTTCTATTCATCACTCCACACAAGATCCTGGCCTCCAAGTTCTTAAATGTCATGCGTAACGGAATACCTGAGTATGGCTGCTTTATAAATCGTGAGAAAACGCTGACCAACTTTGACGCAGTCACCGACGATGGAGAGCAAGTGAAGAACGTTTGCGCGAGCACAAGATTTCCATGGTGTGGTTATCTTTTTGATACAGTCACTCTCGAAGTTCGTTGCGATTTGTCGCGATATACGGGTGAGTCACGCGGTTAATGTACTTTTCTCGTGGCTACAGTTCTTTTGGCGTATAGGTGGTTTTCCACAGTCGCGTAATTTTGACATGCGTAAGGACCATAGTTACGAGAGGAGACTGGTTATGAAAGCCGGCAAACATCAAACCTGAAAACAGCGGTGCTGAAGTTTATACTGGAAGTTTTCTGACCGTGCACAATCCTTTGATTTTTGTTCAAAAATTGTGACTGAATAAATTAATGCGATGTTTCTATTGGTCAGTAAGTTCAAAGTGATAGGAATGCTATTAAACGCTGTACACGGTCAGGTCCAAAAAGGCTAACAAAAAACATATAACAAAGAAGTCTGTCGGGTTTCATAACCATTGTACTTTATTTACTATTTAAGGACGAAAACTTTAACTGGTTTTACGTGCGTAAATAAATTAGGGACGATGTGTGAAACGCGGGAAAAAATGATTGACATATGCTGTGTCGGGAGGGGCGTGAAATATCACTCACTGTCCTACTGGCCAATTATCATGACGTCACTGGTATAATTTTCGACCGGTGAATTTCGCGACAAACAGGTATAAAAAGTGCTTCAAAATGGCAAAACCAAACATTAAAAAAAATTAAGGACATTTAGAAAGTCTACTCGGGTAGGCGGGTGCCCCTTCTACCCTGGACAACTTTTCTTCATATAAACGGGACCTAAGACAACTAAGTAAACGCCCGTGCGGCTTCTAGTTCTTTGTTGGAGATGCTCACTGTTTCTTTGGCATCCATATAGGACTCCCTTTAAGGGACACTTTGTCAGTGGCCTTGGACGCGCATCCTGGTCAAGCCCTACGCTGGAAGCTCCGCTACTCAGTGCGCCCGAAGTGCCATCCATTACTTTTGGACAACAATCTGAACTCGCGCTGGACCGTCCTGTTGAATGTGTACCAGTTGTTTCTTCTAACAGCATATAAGTTTCACACCTATGCTAAAGAGCTGCCAAAGGGCGAGTGTTCTTTATTTAGCTTAATAGTAGTGATGATGATGATGATGATTATAGTAATAACAATTCCTTTTTATACCCTTAGCAGTATTCGTAGCGCAAAGGCTAGTGGGGCCGAGCCCAGTCATATCCGAGTGGATAAAATGCCGAACCCCTCGAATACGCGTCAAACGCTCCATTATCCGCCAAAGTACTTTCCGTCCAACCCTCGACTGACTGGTAAATTCTAACATAAGCTGCACGCTCTCCATTAAATTTTTCCTCGTGAAAGAGTTCCAACCTTCGAAATGACCCATGTTGGCCCGATATATAGATGATATTTGATAGCTGCGCGGAGGTAAGAATTCTCTCTTCCAGTGCTGACAAATATTTGACGCGTGAACGTAAGCTATTAAATATTTTTCAACACGATAAGAGAAACTTCGAATAAAGTTCATTATATGAACACCAAACAAATATCAAACCATTTCAATTTCAAATGTTTTTGGCTCCGAAAGTGCGATTTATTATGCTACCATGGCAACGGTAATATTTTCACGCGTGAAGATATTACACAGATTAAGAGTCACGTTAACCACGGCAAACGTGAATTTGTACCACGTGACTAAGTTTCGCCTTTTGTTGTGCTTTACTTTTCATTGCTTCTACCCCGTTAAAATTAGTACCTTCACGTTATTTTTGTCTATAACAACTGTTTTGGACTGTTAGCTGCACGTTTTCTATTTTGAGAAATTGCCAACTTGAATCTGATGTTTACCGTTTGCTTAAACGCGCTCTCAATCACTCTATTTACAGTCACGTTAACGGCAAACGGCAAACGTGAAATTGTACCACTTGACCAAGTTTTCCCTTAATTTGTGCTTTACCGAGCATTACTTCTACCCCAAAATTAGTAGCTTCACGTTATTTTCGTCTATAACAACTGTTTTGGACTGAGCTGCACGTTTTCGATTTTGAGAAATTCTTAACTCAATCTGACGTTTGCCGTAAACGTCACTCTAATTCTCTTTGTTATGTTTTCGCGCGAAAGCTCACCTGGTTTTTCATTTGTGTTTAAATAATAAGCTCACTAACCGGAACTCTTGATCTCTGGGTAAACATTCGTTAATTGGCATTGTACCAGTTGCCTCAATTACAATCTTTCCCAAAGGTTTTAGAACTTACACAAGCAGCAGATTAGTCAACCCAAAAACTTTCCTTTAGATGGGGTCGTTGATGGAAGGAGTTCCTTACCAGATAATATTCCTTTCTTAGGCCGATTCTTCTTAAGACAACTGGAGCTAACACCTTAGTTTGGCTTGACAAATGAGTAAGAAATGGGAAAACAAGAAGTAACTAACAGGCTTTGAATTCCCGGTGGGGGGAACTCCCTATGATGGCCTATACGGGGAGGCTCCGCCCGAAAGGGGTACCTTTTTCAGTCTTCAGGTTTATGAAAGGGTACCGTAGGGATTTCACAAGTTGAAGTATATGAAAGGGTAGGGAAATTTGTTATTTGGGTCTGTGAGAAGGCCCAGAAGGGCTAACAGATGAATTTTATGGCTTTAAAAAGTCGAGAAAGCGTTCTATTTTTGTGAAGTTAAAAGGGATGCATAGTTCTAAACAAGGTATGTGAAAGGGAACCATTTGTCGATAGAAGGTATACGGGAATTGTACCTTTTTCGTGAAAAATGGTTTATAAAAGGGTAAGGGGCTGGACCTCGGGGAAGAGCCTCCCCGTATAAACAGTTGTTGAATACCCACCGGGTAACTAACTGGCTTTGAATGTCCCTTCGGTGGGGCAGATAAAACTAATCTTCTGTTTATGTTACACAACTGGACTAGACAAATCACATCAGGGTAATAGCTTAATGTTTTGGTTTAACAAAGGGGGCTGATCAAAGACATAATTATTATCGATAATGCTCTTAAAGGTAACCACCTGCATGGATCCCATCATGTTCCCATGGTTACTAAATTTACAATGTGAAATAAACAAGCAAACATGGCGCAATCGCAAGTGTGTCTAAGATTAGAAGAAAGACAAAAATGGCAAGAATTTCACTTCTCACCAAAAATTATAAACAACTAACAGAATTCAAAATGTATTTCACGTTTATTGCTCAGCTGCAAGTGGTATCAGACTGCAAAATGGAATTGTCCGGAAAAAATTAAATGCACTTTTATCTATTTTGTTTTTTTTTTAATTCTACTTTGCTGTAAGCCCAATATAGTAAGCGAAACGTGCGTTGTTAACGCTGTGAAAAACGTTTTCATTTTTTCTCGTACTACGTCGGCCATCTTTAAATATTACGCATTTGTCGATTTCAAGCTAACCTGTAATCAAAAACAAGCAAACATGGCGCAATTTCAAGTGCGTCTAAAATTAGAAGAAAGACAAAAATGGCAAGAATTTCACTTCTCACCAAAAATTATAAACAATTAACAGAATTCAAAATGTATTTCACGCTTATTGCTCAGCTGTAAGTGGTATCAGACTGCAAAATGGAATTGCTTTGGGGAAGCCTGCGCACAGCAGATGTATTTCCGGTCGTCACTTCTCTCCCTCCAAAAAATACTGGAGAGAGCGACGACTGGAAATACGTCTGCTGTTCGCAGGCTAAAAGCTGGATCGAAGCAGACCAATTTCGATATATTTAAATTCATACGTGGCTCCAAGGATCGGGGGAATAAAGCAAAGAAATGTGTTATTCATTGCTGAGCCTCAAGATGACTTCATTTTTTATGCCTCGGAGCCTCGAAGCTAAAAGCATACTTTAAAATACATCAAAATTGATTCGTCCCTCGAAACAGTCCCATAGTGTACTTCGAGACAACAACGACCCTTTATCTCCGCAACCTCAAAATAGAGCGTTTTCGCATGTCGTCACGGCGGCCATGTTAGTGTCCCAAAACAGTGAAACGGCGGTCATGTTAGTGTCCCAAACCAATCCTGTGCGAGTTGAAAACATTTCTTATGCAAACGCTTTTCTTGTTCCTATAAATTTCCATAGATGCTGGTCACGTGATTGAAAACCTTCTATCGCCAATAATAATAATATAAGTTCCACTTTTATGAGGCGTGCTATTAAATAATTCCCCGGTGGATCAATAGAGCTTTTGTGTAATGTTTAGTACCGAACTGGAGTGTTTATCACGTTTAAAGCATAAGTTGTAGCCTGGCAGCTGGGCAATTATATAAACTGGAAACAGTGAGCCTCTTAAACTTAACTTTTCCGTTAATCTGGTCGTTCGCCTTAAAATCCCAAGGTTTGGGATTATTTTGGCTAAGAAATTAAAAGGAGAACCGAAACTTTTTTCAATCAGACATTGAGACGATCATAAAGCATCTTTTTCTTCTCTCGTCATTCGTGAATTGTTGGACGTTTACGAGCTTTTTCTTACTAACTACTGGCGAATCGCCTGCACTTTCTTGCAAGACAATTTTTCATTACATAAATTTCCTTTAAATGACTTTTCGCTCTCTTTTCATTTTTTATGTATTTTTAAATGAAGGTACATCAAACCAATATCCAAAAGCGTCTTTCCTTTTGAAAATTGTCAACACCATAATGCACTAATATTGTCCGGAAAAAATTAAAAGCACTTTTATCTATTTTTTTTTTTTTTTTTTTAATTTTTTTTTTTTTTTTTTTTTTTTTAATTCTACTTTGCTGTAAGCCCAATATAGTAAGCGAAACGTGCGTAGTTAACGCTGTGAAAAACGTTTTCATTTTTTCTAGTACTATGGCGGCCATCTTTAAATATTACACATTTGTCGATTTCAAGCTAACCTGTAATCAAAACTGATTTTTTTTCCATTTATTTTACGAAACAAGCTGTTAATTCATTATGGTTCAGTTTACATGTTCATAGCCTGTTGCTGGACATTTGTTGACATAGATATTATATCCGCAAATAGCCAGACCAGGTGTAAGTCGTTTGTTAACGCATTGTCCATGAAAGAAAAAGCTTTTATTGAATGTTACGCTTTCAAATGCAAGCGATGCCGTGTTTGTTTTTCAAAAAACTTAATGGTTTCTCATTGTTTTGGCGCAGCAACACATATCCTTTCTATTCTTGTATCGGCCGAAGCTTTTTTTCGGATAATGAGGATATCAAATGGTTGTTTTGCTAATTTATACTGCAAATTTAGAATACTTACTTTCTTAAAGCATAATTCCGGTTGTCTCGGATTTTTTCCATTTTCCATGGGTCTAAATGAAGTAAAAATGAACTGTCAAAATCCTTCTTTTGAAGGGAAAATGTTTCAAACGGAAAAATTTATGTTTTTCAATAGGAGCCCAGTGTCATTTACTGGAATTATTTTTGGAAAAAAAGGGTGTGGGGTTTTAACAGATGTTGCCTAAAAGCTGTGGGTTTTTTTTATTAAAGTAATTTCAATTTTTATTATGGGACTCAGCTCAGCCCCGCGACTTACTATTGTGATTTGTTATTGTGAGTTTTATTTTTGGAATTCTGGATAGTGAAGTGAAAAGCGAAGCGGATTTGAAACATATCCTGATCTCCTGATCTGATAAAGAACGTTAAGCAACAAGTGACAGTAACCAAAATACGGATTTCTTGCCAGTTATACCCGGTTCAAACGTGGCATTTCACATGTGCCGAATTTAACGCTACATGAGGAAAATATATTGTTCATTCTCACTCTCATTCATTTTCATGCATATGCATTAGATTCGGCACATCTGAAATGCAAACTTTGAACCGGGCCTAGCTACTACTCATTGAAACCGAGCGTTACAAAAGACTGTGCCCCTTTCGTGAGTCATCCGAAATCAGTGTAGCCTGTATAACAGATGTTACTTTTTCGCGTTTTTCAGGCAAGCGAAGGCAATCGCCAAGCAAGCGAGGAGCGCCAGACACGCGCGATGGGAAGAGCTCCTTCCCCTTCCCGCGGGTCTGTTATGCAGGCTAAAATCGGTGATGTTTTTCATCAATTGTGGAAATGTTATCACTCTACTTTTTCTCGTCTAAGGGGTATCTCCTCTGAGAGCCTTTATTCGGTAAACAATAATTTCATGAATATGTCCTACAAGCCAATATCTTTACATCTCTTGACCATGAACGGTGAAAAGATTATTAATCTAAGCGCCCCTTCTATTGAAAATATTCTGAATTGTTATAAATTTGAACTTCAGCATTCGTTAACACGAGTTACTCAGAAGCCGTACATATCCTTTAAGTTTTCTGTGTTTTTGCTTCTTTTCAAATGTACCAAGAAGGCGGGCAACTTTCACCAGGCCCTAAATAGCCTGTGCCAGACGGGCGAACGAACGAAAAACGGCGGGACTAGAGAAAAGGGGAGAACCTGTAAGCATCTTTCTAAATACCTCAGTCCGCCCACTTCCAGAAAAACCGTTTGTCGTGTCAAAATCGCAATTGTCAAAATTTGTGTGTAGGAGGGTTTCGTACGCTCGCCGTGCTTGTTAGACTCTGCGCTTACGAAGCCAAGTGATTGACGTAAGTGTTTACTTAAACTGTCAAAATTGATTAATCATAGGGTGTACCAGAAGCTGGTATACCAGAATGAAGTATTGAAAACAATGCTTACAGACCCCACTTCCCCGTCTCCACCCAGCCCCCGCGCGACTTTGGCGCAACTTTTCTCGATCCGTTTTTCCTACAATCTTTGAGCCTGGAACAGGCTACGCCTTTAGTATATTTTGATGCTCATCCCCACGTTAAACTCGCTACATTTGCCAACGTGGCCGCCCTTAAGTGCTAACGATCTTGCGTAAAAATAGACGACTGTGAGACTACAATTTTATTCATTTATTAATCGCCGGGACGATTAAATGGAAGCCAGGCTTTCAAAAGCCCGTTTATAAGGAGTACAGCATAACAAACATTACCGCTGCTGAGATCACGGACAGGACCACGGAAAAATACTTTACTGCAATAGTCACACAAATAACAGAACTTTATGACTTCATATTTGAAGTTCACAGTGAGAATCGAACATGTTAATAAAGTTTTTCTTTTCTTTGTCTGTTTTAGGGCGCCAGCCGAAGGATAACCCTTCATTCTTTTGCGATTTACTGATTGATGTTGCACAGTACTTCCATTCGACAAGTTTGCGCAAGTCTCGACAGCTATCCCCTGATAACGCTTCATTTTCGTTGGACGAATATGAGGTCACGTGGCTGTGTTTTCACGCCTTTCACACATGCTTGCAGAGAAAGCAGTCCAGGAATAGGGAACTCTTGAGGTTTCTCAAAATGGGATTGTCGCGTCTTTGGAGAGGCAACCAGGAACTGAAGAAGGTCACAGCCATCTCGGAACACGGAGTGTTTAAAAACATTCGTTGATTTCTGCCATTCTGTGTAGCAACTCGTTAGACTTATTAGAGCGACGTTTGGTTGGGCTTTACTTGTCTCATCCGCTTTTGGCACAGAAACTGATAGTTCCGGGAACGAACGGGATGTCGTGCGTCCAGACTCCGGTCGGAACAAGTGGTCAAATGGCGTTATTTGGGTTTCTTGACGCGTATCTAGACTTCTTTTAGTTCCCATATAAAATATGTGAATGATGACTAGGTTACAGGTTTACAGGAAACAGGGTTTGGCTTATAGTCCAGGCCCCAGTTGTTTAAAAGCTGGATAGCGCTATCAAGTGGATAAATCTTAGGGAACCAATTGCACTATCCAGTGGATAGAGATTTATGCGGTGGATAGCGCTATCCGCCTTTTGAAAAACATGGGCCAGGTTCTTTTTTCGGCCAACCGAGGCCAAACAAAAAATATTGCAAACATTTAGAAACGTACCACAAAGTTTTCATTTTCACAAAGAGAAGTTTGACGCTTTGACAGCAGACTGATAACTTGCTGATTTTCCTGGAAATTTTCATAAGAGGCTGCAAATTGAAGTGCCATTAAAGCAGGAAAATGTCAAGTTTTTGACACTATTTTTAAAAAAAATCTCCAGTTCTCTGTTTGATTTGTAGAGTAAAGAAGTCGTTGATCTTATTTTAAAGAGATAAAAATATGTTCACTCTCATATGCTGTCCCTTTGCATCATCTTCATTGTTCTGCGGGCGTCATCTTACTGCACGCGAAATTTTTCCGCATGGCTAAACTGCAAAACAGTCGGGTCTTTTCTCAAAATCAGTAAAGAAATCGGTAGAGCTTGGCGTAAGAGTCTTACGCGCGCGAAACGCGCGAGCCTTACACGCCCTGCACGCCTATCCCAAACCCAGTCTCGCTGTCCGTTTTCAGCCTCGTTCCAGGCCTTTTGTTTAACTGCTCGCGCGTACTTGAATACGCAAAATACGGACTGTTTTGGTTGTGAAGACAAAAACGGCGGACATTTTACTCGTTCCAAGAGTAAGAACTAGGCAAAATAAAAGCTAAAAACGTGGCAAGAACAGCAAGAAGACAACTCGAAGGGCGACATGTGTTATTTGGAGAATATTTTCGGAGCTGAACAACCCTAAACGTGCACTATCGCAGATGAACGTAACATCGATGGAGGTAAGCATGTTTTAGCTATGTTTTTAAACTAGGAATTTTTTTTGAATGAATAATAAAACAATTATTGAATTCGGCTTTCGTATCGCATGAAGAATTATGGAGATCTCGGAGGGTGTTATCTGCCTCGGCCAACGGCCCCCCCGGATAACACCCTCCTCGATCTCCATAATTCTTCATAAGATAATCAGCCTTATTCATTAATTGTTAAATAATTGAATGGGAAAGATTTATCCTTCAAATCTTAACTGTTTGTTTGGATGGAAGTACTATGTTCAGGCCAGGAGCCTGCTTGAATTTACATCCAAATGCGTCAGTTTAAAAAATTACAATCCGTTCTAACAAAGCTTGTAAATATCGACGATACCTTGTTCAAGACCTTAAGACAAACATTTCGACTCCGTTGGTATACCTTATACACTGTAGCTATAGATTAGGGGAATATCCTCTCCCGGCCCTACTTGCAAGATCGGGCGATACCTGTTTTGTGAAGACACATGTGTTCTACGCATTACCAAAAGGCAAACCTCAAGAGGCGAATCCAGAAAATTCAGAGAGGGTTGGCCGGGACAATTGCCAGCTATATAAATACTTTTATTTTTCTGAGAATTCTATAAAAAAAAACACAAAATTTCAAAGAAAAAAGGTGGTCGCGGCCGCCTCGGATTTGTGGTCAACCAACATTTTTTTGGCCATTAAGAATAAAGAGTAGAAAGGCTTATTGCTTTGGCTCTTTTTTATCGTAGAATCACACCTTTTAGCCGGAAAAATCTGAGGATTATAATTCATATTTATCCTCTTAATTTTCGTCATCGTTTTAAATGTCACAAATTCAGCCTTTCGTCGTGCGCAAAAGAGCTGCTAATTTTGTCTTTGACACTTTGTTAGCCTCCAGAGTTATTACTATGATAACTATAAAACACAGCTGTAAACGTGGTCTTTGGAGTGTTAAAATTATATTATATTCACACTGGTTTGTAGCACTAAAACTCCTTTTGGTGGGGCGTTCCCAGAGAATAAAACGAGGATTACTCAACAATACGTTCCAACTGGAATTTTGTGGCTTTTGTAGTATGCTATACATGTGTGTATCTATATATTATGTATTGTACTGGACATTTGAAAATTATGACTGAGCCAGTGAGTACATGTACTGATCAGCTTTAAGAAAGTATTGACTGATGTTGAATAGATCACCTGGATTCTTTAAGGTAGCTGTTACATTGCAATTTTTGCCTCAATAACTTAAAAGGCATTTCTTGAGCACTCATTCTTCTAATACTTTAATAGCGGTTGCTATATAAGCCACTAACATGCATTGTTGAGGCTTTCATTCATTGATCGTCTCTATATCTAGAAATGTATTTGGCAAGGTCATTCATTTTTACTTAACACCATGCCAAAAGAGAAAAATTGCACACAGCTGGCATTACATCAGTACATGTACCCAGAAAGTTGACAGTGTAAGCTAAATCTTTCCTCTTTTGAGAGCCCCCCTCAAGAATGCAGTCAGCTACACAAATCCTTCCGTTCGAGATATATTAAGGAAAATTCTTGGTATTTTTAAACTGTTGTTCGTTTCAGCCAGTTGGATTTCACCGTTACGAAAACATGATCATAACAGTATCATTGCGTCGGCCTTGTAGCCCACCTACATATATAGATATATAAAATGAAAGACTGGTTGTTTTTTTTTTCTCGGAATAATCACATGCAGTTTTGAAACACCTCAACAACCCCTCTATCTGAAAAAGAAGGTATTCCACAGCCACTTAATAATTTCTTATATTGATTCAGAATTATTTCGATCTCTCTTTCGTCTAAAAATAGCATCCGCTGGTTTACGAAAACAATTAAAAAAGAAACTGCCCCCACAGCAAAGTATAAAAAAAGTGTGAGAAATGATTCTTTTTTGGCATGTAAATCGTTCGAGATATAATCTAAACAAATGCCAGGTTTTACAGGTGCTTGGGAAACAGTTTCTGTCTAAATTTCTGTCTTAACTGGATCTTTCAGTCAAATGGAATTCAGATCTGCCAGACGAAAGCATTAACTGATGTTGTAATGGCAGACTGGAACCTTCAAAGTCTGTCACTATCACGCGTGTTCGATGCGCTTTAATACTCGTTGTAGCCAATATTCCTTCAGCGGCGTTCACTTCTTCTAAAAACCAAATTTTACTTTTTTCCCTTTGGCTGCAGTTGCTTCAAGTTGATGCAATTTTTAGATTGAAATAGGCTAAAAAAAATCGACAGTCGAACCTCGACAAAATAAGCCCGTTTATAACGACCACCCGAGGGAAAATTAGCCTGCGTAGCAAGCGTTTCCAATCGAGTTATTGCGCGAAATTTTGAGTGGGAGCTCTCGTCCAAACTTTCTCGACGAACTCGCGAGGAAATGTTTGATACGCAGGCTAAGGGAAATTCTTCGCCCCGGGCTTAGCAAAATGCCTAGAATAGCGGATATGCACCCTCGTTGAAACGAACGATTAGGCACTTCGTTTTAATAATCGGGGTTTCACCATAACAGGAACTGTCCTTCAAGGAAACTCATAATTTTGCCAGAATAAAAGCGGAGGGGGATCTAGAGAAGGGGTCCCCTCCCCCTCCCAACACCACCCAACCTTCTTATCCTAAAGTCTGGATGAGCGGGCGTCCTGACTTACTTCACGATCTTAATTGGCCTCTGGTTAGCGGGAATGGCCGGCATGCCGTGAAGAAGAGAACGGCGTAAAAAAGTAATCGAAGCAAGAGAAAAACACGCCCTCCCTGCTCTCCGTTTCCTTCTCTTTTTCTCATCATTTCTATTTTTTCCCTTTTCTATCCTTCTTTCTTTTTCTGTTTTTTTTTGTTTTGTTTTGTTTTGTTTTGCTTTTCTCCACTTTCTGTTTCACCTACTCCCCACTTCATGCCTGAACGCCTAAAACAGGCCATATCAATTGTTTTAATCAGAAAGAGTAATCAATCTTAATCTCGTTATCTTCCAATAATCCCCTTAGCTACACTGATATGTTTTAGCTTTACCTTTTCAGAATTTTACTAGTATCCAATTTAGTTGCATATTAGGAAGAATTAATTAATCCGGGAATGGTATGCAAAAATTAAGGTATCTGCTCAGTGGTGATAGTGTCAAATGGATTATCGAGAGAAAGAACACACTTTAGACTCTTTTAATGGCTTACGCCTTCTTCTTTTCTTCTTTTCTTTTTTTTTGTTTTTGTTTTGTTTTTAAGAAAGGAATGAGCATACGAAGCCATTGTTCCTCTATTCTACTTACCAATAGGGATTTCTCGAGGAATTCCGCAGAACTGAAAGGTTATTTAAGAATATATATTAGTGACACAAACTTGTCCTTCTTCTTAACTGGATTTTATTTTAAGTAACACTCAAAATAGCTGATGAAAGCAGTAAGTGTGTTAGAATTAAGGTTCGCCTTGACCTTTATGTGGGATGTGAAAAGAGCTAATCCATTTAATTAAATAATACAAAGAGACCAGCTAGACCAGAGAGAAACATTTCTTTGACGTTGTCTCGGTATGACTCCAGTTTTTTATGTGCTTTAAGTAGTTTATCCAAATATGTTTCTTCCTTGCGTACTACCGCCTTATCTAAGGGCTATCCACTTTTCTGCGCTGCGACAACTTGGGTATGATGAAACAATCTTTCTTGTGTTTATATCAATAAAATACTCTGAGTATTTGGCATGTCACCGAATTTAAATTCTAATGGCCATCTTACGATTCCTACAAATGATACGTCAGTTACATTGATAAAATGTTACAATAACTACTCTCCTAACTCTCGGAAATGACTACCTGTATTTTCGAATCCCCCATAATACATTCTGTTCCTCTCCCCTCTCTGTTTTCTTAAGCTGTTCACTGTTTTTAGAACTGAAAAAGCATTTAATAATTTCGAATGACGGTCAAACTACATTTCGCCCTATGTAAGTAGCGGATTCGTTTTCCGGAATCCGGGAAAATTTGTTTGTGGAATCCTGAATCACATGGGTTGTGGAACCGGGAATACAGCTCAAGGAATACGGAATCTTACTAACGATTGGAATCCAGCATCCAAGCTCCACTGCCAAAGGCTGGAATCCATGCAGTACCTGATGAGGCTAGACTCTTGACACCCGCTTAGTGTCAATAGATTAAGTTATCAGTTTCACCGCCTCACTTAAATCGGTCTTCTTTTTAATTTTTAAAACTTCCATTCAATATTACTAAAGTTTAAAATCTAAGTTTTAGCAGCTGAGGGTGCAGACGAGTATCAGAAGTTGGCTTCTCATGGCTTACTCCCTGTTCGTGATACGCCGGTTATTTAAATTTTGTATGCGACCTCTTGAAATTAAAATAATATTATACTAGCAACTTCGTTCGCGTGTAATTAAGATGGTTACCGCATTGGCTTCCACGCAAGTGAGTTCGCCTTCTCGTAGGCCGTACATGAAAATACTAAATAGGTTTCGTTCATTATATGTTGGTCCAGTAAGTTTTGTGGCGTGCATTTAGTTACGTAATATGTAGGAGATACAGCAGGTATGAGCGACTATTCCGCAGAAGTCGATATATGTTAAATGCATCACATTGACAATTAAGTTATTCAAACCAACTACAGTCAGTTTTTATAAATTTAAAAAAGGCATTTGATGTCTACGGACATTCGATCGCCATTTGAGGGATCGACTGTTCAAGCTACAAAGCTAATATTATCCCCCTAAACTCGTAAATGCTAGGAGACGATCTGAAGTTTGACGGTGATTATAATTAGTTCAAGAGCGCTACCTAGGAATGGAAGACATGCTGTTGGAATCATCTTGTATTGTCCTTCCATTTTTTTTTAATTCCATGTATTCTGTTACTATGTATTAACTGTGTCAGTTGTTGCCTTAGGGTAACCATGTTACTACGTTGCCCGTAATAGTCCCACTCACCTGTAAAAGACAGATTTTCACGGAGATCACCGTCCCTTTGGTCGATTCGGAGTTTTCCAGCAGCAGTGTGGGTTCATTTCAATGTGTTGCGAGTGATGAGGGTCCCTCCCAGATTCCCTACCAAGCGTTCCTGGATTTAATTGATGGATGCCCGGAGGGGCTTCATCTAGCTAAAGTGGCTAATACAATAGAGTTTTCAGAGAAAATGTGCTGTTCTTTAGACACTTTAAAAACCTTATAATGAATTTAAAAGCGAAAAAAGGGAACTTTGCACGTGAATTAAATGTTTATTTTATCGGCAAAAGTCTTTATTGCTCTCCCGATTAAGTGCCAGAGGCAATCTTTCTTTCAGGAAGTCCAAGGTAAAGTACAGTTCCTATTAACTTTTCAATTAATTCAAACCTTATCTTTGTTCTGTCACGTTTTTCTCACATTTATTTTGACGATCGCGCGTTTTAGATCCATTTAAAAGAAACCATAAATGGTTTAATAACCACACCCTGGGGCATGACTCAATAGAAATAAATAAGTGCTTCACAGCAAATACACATGGCCATGCACCTGTGGTAACAGTTTAAGGGAGGCAGATATATTTCCTGAAAAATAAGAGCGAGACTGAGTGTCCTAAATTGCAGGCCGACAGTCTGAGGAGCGCATGCGCGTATGCCAAGCTTTCGTGAGAGAATGGGGGGCTTTGGAAAATCCAAAATTTGGATCTTATTACGATTTGTGTCAACAACCGAAACGACAAATCCGTAAAAAGACTTTTAAGCATATCATCAGTACAGATGGAACCTGGCAAACGTCTCGTTTTTTACATGAAGAACGCCTGTTAATTGTATATGATCTCGGATCGGTACCGAGGGAATTCGAAATGCAAGGATAGTAAATTCTAAAAATCAGTTTTTCAGTGATGAAATCCACTCGCAGTATGGGTTTTTTGAAAAGTATTTTCGATTCGGAGTAGGGATTGGAGTTTTGCTCAAGAGGTGCATAAACGCGCCAGTAAAAGCTGGCGTCAAGTTGTGAGGTAAAAACTTGGGCCTGGGCGGGAAAACTTTGACTGGGACTCTGCGACATGTGTAACGTATTCTACAGACTACTATCAACGTCTTACTTTAGAAAGCTGGTTTACTAACTTAGAACAAACTCCACTAAATCGTAGCCAAAAGTTACCAGCACCGTACAAACGACTTATTGATGAGATCAAGCAAAACAAACTACGAGAGAACGACTGGAGAACTGACAATTTGACTAACAATAGACGACTGTTTAACTGTGACAATAGACGGATCGAAACGCATCATTACTGATTACGAGTCTTCATAGCCAATAACATCACGGCTTAACTGACAGACGACCAATAACATTGCGATGTAATTGACCAATCAGATCAATAACCAAAGTATAATACCATTAACTGACGTGATACAACTCACTTTGACTCTGAAGATGACTACCGCACAGGTTGTCGAAACGTCAGTCACTGTCAACAACAACAGTCCTTTTCAGGACTACGTTCACCCGGACGATCAAACTTAACCTACTTTTGAAAACTTTATTCATTTATCCACCCTGAAAGGACGAGCGTAACTTCGTTCTCAGGGCTTTCTCTGTTGCTTCAAGACGAGAGAGAGAACTCTGGGAACGAGCTGTTGCTCAATTGAGTTGCCGCTCTGACATTGGTCAATTCGGTTTTTAGTTTTAGATGTGCGCGTTGTCTTTACTTGTGTCCCCTCGTCGTTACTTGCCTGATCCTTATTGAAAATTAAATGTGCGTAGGTCATCACAGGCAACATGAGCGGCGTCTTAATGCAAGTTTCCAGCTTGCTTTAAATTAACCATCATGGCAATTAGCTAAGTTTTACGATTTTGTTTGTCTTCCTGTTTTCTTTAATGCCGCGAAAAAAGTGTACCTAAAGGCGGTGATGACCTGCTGTTTAAATGCTAATAGTAGAGTCATGACGGGATCGTTTTAAGTTCAAACTCTGAAAAAGAAGGTAACGATACTTTATCAGTACTTCATTTTCAAAGCACTGTCGTCATTCTCTATTTTCCAATTGCCCATAATACACTCTGTTTGCCCCCCAAATTCCGCATAAACCATTGTTTTTAAATGCTCCTGGGAGTTTTGCATTTTCCCAAGAGCATTTTAAGACAACAAGTTATGCAAAATTTGGGGGGCAAACAGAGGGTATTATGGGCAATTGGAAAATAGTCAATTCGGGTCGTTATATTTTTGTGTTCCGCAACAAAACGTGATATGTCTTAGAATGAGTATTGTTTCATTTGATTTTTTAATAACCTATTTGAACACCACGTTGTTTCACTTTCTCACAGTTGTAAATGCGTAATCGCTCTTCCAAAATCAAAACAGTTTAAGGCACTCTCTATTCCCGGTCAAGCCCGAATTTTTCAGGTCCTTTATCAACCACTTAAGTTGTTCATTCTAAAGCGACGAAGTTTATGTCCCCTTTATTAAGACACTCTGTTGACCTATGTATCACCTCCAGTAACAAAAGAGAAAATGGATTGTGCCTCTCCAGACGTGGATGCATGGTACATGATTCTCAATAAAGATTTCAAGAGAGAAACGTGCTGAAATGACGTCATTCCCTTGGATGTGACGCCAATGCGTCAGGCTAAGTACCCAATTATGACTTATTTGCACACATGAGAAATTTTCCCATTTGGGACAACATCTGAGCTATTTTCAGCATTTCGAGAAAATTTAAGGCGAAGAGTGTTTTCTATGAAAATTTTAAACCAAAAGCTGTACGCTGCTCTAACGGCCTCTTCTTTATTATGCTATTTTGTGATCACACGTAAGAACCCGTTGAAATATTTTTCAGCAACATAGATTGTAAGATCATAACTTTTCACAGTTTGTGAGCACACGTGAGCGCTATACATTTCAGCGTACTTTGAGCGTTTTTAAGCCCTTTTTTGGCTTTTTTTTCGAAAAAAAAATTGTGATTTAACCACTTAAAATTACCAAGGGAATCGAAATATGGTCAACAACCTTGTGTCTGCCTGTCTAAGTTCTCTGACAGCCTCGGATATAGGAGGGTACAGGGGGGGCTCACTTTTGATGAGCCAGTCCCCCTTCCTTCTCACCCTCATCTCACATGAAGAGCTGGATCTATTGCTTTACTAGTCTCGGAGAGAAAGAGCCTTCGCACAGTTGGAACGAAAGCATAATTAAATAACAGAACAACATATCGATGTTTGAGAATGGATTTCTGGATTTCTGGATTCCTTTTTCTATTTTTAAAGGCCCTGCTAAGTAAATACAGGATAGATCGAGAGGGATAACCAACTTGTTCACTCCAGCATAAGTTTACGAATGAAAAAATTCCTTTTGCAGCTTGTATTTAATTGATGCCCAGGGGAATACTCACCATAATGGCCTACTCACAGGGAGTCTCCGCCCTGAATAGGGTTCCCTTTTCGGGCCCTCAGGTATAAAGAAAAGTTACTGAGGATTTTACCAGTCAAAACGCATGAAAGAATAGGGAAATCTGTCATTTCGGTAGTAAAAATGCCCCAAAGCCCCACCGCCAAAATTTTTTCCGAACTCGCATAGGTGCCCGAGAAGGTACTGTTAGAATTCTTGGTGGCTGCCGCCCGGTTCTCAGAATCCTGACCCTATTTCAGACGAAAAAATGTCATTTTTCACACCCGTTTTCAGAACTGGTCTCTAAGAAATTATGTCATCATTACTTAGGTTTAGAACAACGACAACAAAAAAGATTTCTTAACTGAAATCCATTTGGAATTCGCATATTTCTTTTTCTTTCTTCCTCTTTCGGAATTGAAACGATAAAGACGTCCATACAAACTCTTACGTAGTTCTCTCGAAAACCATACCCGATTCCAGATCAAAATAGAGCCTATACCCGTTTTCACGCCAAAACGGCTCCAAAACCATGCCCTTTTGGGTGTCACATACATATATATAGCTCATATAAGAGAGTATACCCTCCTCCCTGCCCCGTCGGGCAAAATTGAGCCTGCTTGCAGGCAGGAATCAAGCTGAGTGAACAAGAATTTCCGTTCCACTGCGGTCTCTAAGTGCAATCAGAGTCATCCCCAGTCTGGCCCAGCTGATACGATGTATGGCTTGTACATGTCGTGAGATCTCGGCTGTGTTGAGGAAATAATTCATTACGGGTTGTGTAATTTGCTTTTCCTAGTGTATCGCTGTCGAACTCAAACTTATATTTAACGGGTGGTGATCGCTTTATCCATATTTGTAGCTTTAGGGTAATTTTTCCTAAGGAAATAGGGCATTTCGTTTATTTTATCTCATTTTCTTTCATTTGTTTTTTGGATCTTTTTACAATAACATTTATTGTTCCTTCCAACTTTTGATTAACTCGTTTTTTACTCTTTTGGTGCTAAGAAAAAACATTACATTGGACTGGGCAAGTTACCAACTATCGCCCAATCATTTTATCGCTACTCCGTTTGTATGTTTTACCAAGGGGAGAGAAATAAAAGGATCTGAGAATCATGATCATTTATCTGGACCGTCTTCAGTAGTATTTTTTATCCAGATTGACTTCAGTTTGGATTGAATGCTGAAGCTAGGCGGACAGCAAAGTTGCTACTTTGTTTCTAAACAACAGAGAAATTTCTCGGTCGTTATGAGTGGAAAGTGTTTACCCTCGAAACGGGAAATTGCCTTCTCTACGGCATATTGACTTACCAAGCTGATATTCAAAGAAATTTGCATATGAACATATATAACAGAATATAAAAACAAAGCAAGCAAGTAATACTCATTAAGAAAACTGCGCGATGGCTTTTTTTCCATGTATTTTTGAGATTTAGATGTGAACAGGTGCTTGAAATGAAAATGCGTCAGCCGTTTAAATGACGAAGCCAGTGGTCTACCGAAATCGAAATAAACTATAATAGTAGATCGAATTGACAAGTAGAAATTTTTTTAAGTTAGTGAAACAAAGGAAAGGCAAATTATGCCCTTCTTGTTTATCAAGACGGTCATTTCATGCGGATTCAACAACACTGATAACTTTTTTTAAAAATCAATCTCTGGGGAGCTACCCCCGCTCTATTGATTTTCGCGTTTAACGCGTTTCACTTTGGATTAACTCATCGTTTTTTTAATTCAGTCTTCTGCTCATATGTTTTCTTTTTACAAAACATATTAAAAGATGCTGAATAATGATGTAGATTAATAAATCATGCATGCATCGAGTTTACTTAAAGAAAATGTGGCAATAAGAAATTAAGCTAATATATATTTTTTAGTGTTTTCTTTTTTTTCGCTTAATCCTACATCATCGCACCGTATGTTTTGTTGGCCGCTGTAGATTAGTGCTTGACTTTACATAATTAATCTGTGCAGTTTAGACGGGTTGCATCGAGGTATGACGCAGGGTAAGAAAACGAAAGAGTAGGAAATAATTTAGGCTGTTTCGCTAAATGATCGTGACTTTAGTAGCAGAAGCCAAATTGAGTCGTGCTTACGTACTCGACTTTCGAAACCGCAAGAACTTTAGCAGGTTCTACACGGTTAACGGCGAAATATGGATTCGTAACGTTTCTCAAACGTTGTAGCTCCATTCCTTTCACTTTTTTAAAGACCTCTCGACGTGGAAATCTTGTGCGAAAGTGCCAACTAGTATCCGGCTGTTTCAGTTATGTTCAATCTGTCTGAATGTAATAAGTAAGGCCTTTCAATCCCATCTGCTTACGTTATTCATCTCCGTTAAAGTGCTTAGCTGTTAAAAATAGCCGCTATCTAATATATACCGTAGTCTCTTACTTAGTTTCTCGATTATAAGCCTGCTGGCCTGTCAAAAATCAATTAGAATCATTAAAATGGCGAAGAACGGGTCTTTTTTTGTGTGTGCAGTCTTGAATGCTCTATCATGGTAGAACTGTATTTATGTTTCAACTCTAGAAACGAAATGCGGAAGGACTTTAACATTTAAATCTTTTTTAAACGTGTTTGTGAATTTTGATATCGGCTGTCGATCATACTCACTGGCTGACTTGACTGACACTTACTTGGTGAACCAAATATTTGTTGAACACGTGACTAGCGCCGAGTTCAGCATAAATATAGCTTTTAACTATTAAGTTGGTGAATTGAAAAGACAAATACTTAATTAAAGAGGAAATATTAAAAATCGGGGGCTGATGAATTGTTTATCTGAGAATTTTGGGGTCAGGACAGAGCGGAAAGAGAAGACTGCGATATGAAAGCCCTCGGTTCAATATCCGGGACTCTTCGTTCCCAGCGTCCGTGTCGCCCGTGGTTTGCCGAATGTGCGGGCGTGGTTCTGGTTGGTTGTTGCGATAAAAGCGAAGTGGAGCGCCATAAACGCGTAGAAAAACGGGATAAAAACGTTCATGGCGAAGTCGTGAAACACTTTAACACATGTTTATTGGTTAGAAACAGCGCCGAGAGTCAGATCGCAACTATTGGGCTTCTCGCTGTGTGATATAACTGTAGAGGACTGTGAAAGTTCACACGAAAAGGCCAGGCGCTTGCGAGAGAAAGTTGAATTTTCGAACTCTCATATATCAACATGGGTTGCACGCTCAGTGCCGAGGACAAGGCTGCTGTAGAAAGGAGCAAGATGATCGACAAAAACCTTCGAGCGGACGGTGAAAGAGCAGCGAGAGAAGTAAAATTGCTTCTTCTTGGTAAGTGAAACCTTAAATTCGTAAGCCATGGAAGCGCGAATCGACATGAAATATCTAAGGCATCGATCGATCTGTCCGACGGTCGATTCAAATATGTAAAGGAAACCGTTGTGTTTGATGTTTTTACACGATCAATCGTTTACTTTAGTCCTTCTAACCCCTAACTATGTAGTATACAGAAAAGGAAACCTTACAAGATCTTTTTTTTTTGACGTGGTTATTTCCCCTGTCGCTTTGCTATACTGTCGTAAAACACCGCACAATTTACGCTGCTTGTGAACGATCTTCAGTGCCCTTAGCAACATTTGGCCAGAGGTTTATTTATAACTCAGCGCATACAATCGAATGCAACGAAACTGGTTTGTCCTTTATACCTTTGTGGCCGCGATATGCTGTGCTCTAACATCCTTAGTCTAGATTCTAGGACTTTCCGCACTGGCCTAATCCGCCATTAGATATTGTAAACGAACATTAGCTGCGAAATGAATAAATTTGCCATCAAACCTAAAGCCAATTTTACGCTTATCTTGAACACGTCTCTGAGTTTCGTGCAAGGATCTGCTTTACAGCTGTGTTAGGTGAAAATTTCAATTCTTGTAAGTTGCAGTAAAAATCAGGAATGTAAACGAAAACCCTTCGAGTGATCATATGACGAAACGCACGCGAGAATGTTGTCGAACGAAGCAAGCGAAAGTGAAAATGGTCGGTAACATGCCTTCTGATCGTGAAGCAGTTCTTATCCCATTTAACTTGGCTATTTCATGGAATTTCGTTCCTCATATTAAGGTTAATTTTTCGCCGACCCTCAACCGTAATAATTCTGTGCAATATTGGCGCGTGTGAATTAAAATCGAATAAGTTAAATCAGATCAGAAAATACTGGTTATGGAAGTTGTGCGATTCTACAGTGAAAGGAAGCCAGAGGCGAAACATTTTCTGCTGAGCTTAAACGCTTCTTACAACACTTCTGTGAACAATTTCCTTCTATTCTTTTATTTTGTTTCAGCGCTAAATCGTAGTTGTGACGGCCAATATATATTCGACTGGATTGTCCCCTTCTCTGCCTCTATTTCGTTTTCGTTATGAAACGTCGTATTATCCATTTTTGTTTAGGCCACTCACTCTTGATGGCAATTTTCTAACTTTCGTACGTGAAGAGAATGGACTGAAGAGATGGGCTTATCTGATTACTGTACCCATTGGGTCGTCTCCATGGTTAGATTTTTGTTTCCATAAACAGGTGCTGAATGCTCTCTAAAAGTTCTTAGGTAATCACCATTTGCTATCTGCCTCTTTTTAAATGAACTTGTATGATTTCCTTCTCTGTTTGTAGTATATATTTTAAGACTGATTAGCTTATTTCTATGTGGGGTTGATTTTGTCTCGATAACCTTTCCTATCTGAATGTCTCATTAATAAAAGTGATGCGTTGAAATTACTAAAGGCCATAAATCTATGATTTGTTTGTTGTGGTTCTGTCTGTTACGTTGTTGTTGATGGTTCTATCCAGCTGATACATGTAGACTAACAGTAGTTAGCAAAGCACATAGTATTCATTCTTTTTGCTTTGTATGTCCTTTGGATAGCTGGAACTCTTCAACCCTTCAAAAAACTGACACCCTGAGATACCTTTTTTAAGCCTCTTTTAGCTTTTAACACTGTGATTTATTTATCAGGCATGCATAGTGGTTAAAACAGAATAGCAAACTTTATATTTGTTGATACTTTTTGTGGTTTGTTGCTGTCATGTGTGAATTCTTGATAACCTGACCTCACTGCCATACAGGTTTGCTAGTCGAGGACAACACTCACAATATAATGGATGTATCGTTTTATTGTACTATATTTATCTCGGACATTGGGGCTGTAACTGGCTTAAAATCTGTGTCCCCAGTCAGTTTATTTGTGGTTCTATTTGTTCATTGTATCTATCTTTTTGTTTTTTGCGTTAATGTAAATTGACCACAATACTGGCAATATTGAATGTGGGCTAAATGAGTTTCATTTCTGAGTTTTCCATGACAGTCACATATTGGCTGATCTTTAATTAAAGTCATTTTATAAAAAGAACTGAATGTAGTAGGGGATGATGAAGTAGGTACATTTATGGTTATGGCAAGTAAGGGTTCATATATCACAAGTTTATCATTATCGTAATGTTACATTGTAACCTAACCATCTTGTGATTAACTTGTGTTGAATGAAAATTAATTTGTAGTGACATGCTCAGGGTTAAGAGATTGTTTTGAAACATATCCTTTAAATCCATCATCAAATTTAGAAAAAAATGGCCAACATGGTACAATCAAAGCTCTCCTTGCGACCACTCTCGTAAGCGACCACCTTGGCGAACCCCGTTTGAACTGTGACTTAAACTTTGTAATGAAAAGCTCTCATAAGCAACCGCTCCTGTAAGCGACCACAACCACATTTGGAATTACCCAACTGGACTTTTCCTTTAATAATAATAATGATATTGATAGTGATAATACTAATAATAATATTGTTTGTAAGCGACCACTCAGACCTAATAAAACAGGAACTGTTAGTTTATTGAATGGCTTCAAATTCTTCTGATGTAGATCAACTCCTTCTTGCAATAATATTTAGATTTGCTGATGTTTTGGTCTAAAAAATTGGGCGTAAAGTTTTTCCGTGTCTATATCAGGTATAGAGACACTCATTAATTTCTTTTGTTTTTTTTTCTGAAGCTCTCGTAAGCGACCACTAATCGTTGTTTTAGCATGTCGTCGCTAACGACAGCTCATTCTCTTAAGCAACCAGCTCTAGTCAAGACCACTTTTTCGAATTTCTGAGGTGGTCACTTTAGTAAAATAAATGTTGGTGAACTTCACTGTTGTTTGTAAAGCTTGTGGCACAAATGCTAGCAAGATTTGTTTCCATTTTTTGTCATTGGTAGAAACTATGGAATTGCTTGATGTGTCCCACAGTGTAAGATAAATGTTGCTGGAAATCAGTGTTCATGCTTGTATTAAAGGGACTTTGTCATGGCTGTGCAGTTCATTTTGTTAACAATGCCATTGACGTGTCCTTCTTCGCTGTGTAACTTGAAAAATTACTTGTGAATGACAAAATCACAGCTTCGTAACAAACAGATTCAGAAATGAATTATTTCATATACTTCACATCAAACAGATACGTCTCCCAATCATTATATCAAATTTTACAAACAATAATGAAGGATGATGATCATCCTTCATTTAATTCTTCACTCGGCAGTTGACATGTATGATTTTAACATATTCAAAACTTCAGTTGAAATAAACTTTGAAAAACTGTTAGGCCATTGAGTTTTCAAAAACCACAAAATAAAAATTATTTCAAACCATTTTAATCTTCTTCAAGTTTTTCCATCAGTCCTTTCTTTCGGATTTGCTGTGTTGTTCATTTCTCGATTAAATTTTGTGAGTGGTTATTTTTACAGTTTCACTCAATTTGGTGGTAGTTACCATTGCTTCAATTTTGATAAATTTCGTGACACTCTTTGGTGACTAGAAAATCTTTGTTTTTGCAGGGAAATCTTATGCAGGGCCCCCTTGATTTCACAGGTTCAGAACACTGGGTTCCCCTCAACTTTTTCAGAGCACAGCCTTGTTAACATAAATCTTAGTGCTGAAAAAAAAAATTAAGAATTCCTCCTCGCCATCTGTGTTAAAATTAATGAAGGTCATTATTAGTGGATAGACTCAAAAGGTGATAACATCTATTACCAAACTTATGTTGGTTGTTAACTAACCAGCAATTACTTATGGCTGTCGGACATGAAGTGTACAGTATCTGTATGTGAATTACTAAAAAAAACCCTTTTTGCGTCTTTGCACTTACGAGGAGATAAATTCTTTGCTTGTCAATGTCAAAAGCAATGTTTTTTTATCTCTCAAGGTGTAAATGAATCACATCATTTATTTTGCATCATGCAATGAACAACATTAAGTCATTTTAAAACAATCTATCAAGAGTCATGTTTTTGTCTAAATGCTTTTATAATGTATACTTTTTTGTAGGTTTTATGTCATATGTCTTGTCTTCTACATTTTTTTATTGTCAATCTCCTTTTTTTAAAACTTTCTATCATTTTAAAACAATCTATCAAGAGTCATGTTTTTGTCTAAATGCTTTTATAATGTATAATTTTTTGTAGGTTTTTTGTCATATATCTTGTCTTTTACATTTTTTTATTGTCAATCTCCTTTTTTTAAACTTTCTCTTTTATCATGCCAGTGCCATGTTATTATAACAACCTGTTTTCCGGTTGAATTGTGTAAGGTACATAATTTTGATAGATTTCTTTAAATCTGTTGTAATGGCAATTTTTTTTTGCTTCCATGGTTTTTAGAAGGTTTGTCTATTCATCCTCTTTTCGTCTATGAGCACTTACCATTTGAACAAAATTTTGGTGAAAAACTTCCATCAAATGCTACTGGTATTTTTTTGGCACCGAAAACAGGAACAGGATTGAGTTGTACCATTTACAAAATACTAGTAAATTTTTCGCTTTCTCTTGACATGAAGCCTGGCACTAGTAATCCAGACAAATGGTACAGAAAAATAACCAACCCTTTGTCTTTGACTTTTTTCGAAAAAGCTGTTCAATATAATACTTATAATACTGGCCATGTATTCTTGTTGGCGTAATAATAATAATAATAATAATAATAATAATAATAATAATAATAAGAGTCTTTATTCATAGTTGGGTAGTCACAACATACGTGTGGCTTTACATACATGACAATGCAATCTATTTGATGGCGTCAGACATTCTGAAAGCGTTCTGTTTTAGCAGCAGGTAAAATATAATCATGTCCTGTGTTTCGCAAAAATCTCTTGTTTCTTAGCGTGTAATAGTTGGTAAAGGGGATGGGAAGGAGTATCGGTGATAATGTTCCATAGCTTACAGTCGCGATTTCTGATAACTTCAGCTATTGCATACAGGTTGTTGGTGTATCCGAATCTAAATGCTCGCTTAAAAAACTTGTCAATGCGATCAAGGTATTTACCTTGATATGCCGCTCCCCAAATCTCAATTCCGTACAAAAACAGGGACATAATTAAAAGATCAAATAATTTTGTCAGTTGTTCTTTAGGGTAACTTGTCAGTTGTTCTTTAGGGCATGTTGCCTTCGTAAGAGGGGAGAATACAACTTTGATGGTGTCAGGTTGAAAGATATTTTTTAATAAAGTGAAGAAATGTAATAATTTGCTTTAAGATATTAAGAGCTGGTTGATTGAGACATTCTTAAAATGCGAGATGGTTAGGTGATAGGGAAGCCAGGAAATAGGAAAAAATTTAATGTTCAATTACGAATCTCTGGAGTTTGATCTTTCTGTTGTAAAACGTTATTAAAGTAGATGAATGAACCCACAGTTACTTGTTAATGTTGTTGTTGTTGTTGCTCTTGCACATGGTGCTGGTAAAAGGAAAATAATAATAATTTATTATTGTTGCTGTTCTTTCTCCATAGGTGCTGGAGAATCTGGAAAGAGCACCATAGTAAAGCAAATGAAGTGAGATTACATTGTTTGCTTTTATTCATGACAACCACAACAGTTAAATGTACAAGAAGATGAATTTACATGTATTTTCCCCAAATAAATAAGTTACATTATACTACTATTATACATGTAACATTGTTTACAGAGAAATCTGCGTTTAATGGATGCCGCCCCGTATTGAGTGAAGGAATGGCTCAGTTTGTTTCAAAACCTCTCTTCCCATATTTTCTTTCAGTAACCTTGCCTCTCACTGTAAGCTCCTTTTCATGGGACCCCTTTATGTCGCAGCTCTTTTGTTGTAGGGCTAGGTTCCATTTTGCCTTTTTCCATTTGTTTCTTCCTGAAACCAATCCTGTGAGGCCTTGTTACAGCTGCACAGCACCTGTTTCTTATAAAACCAACCTAAGCTGAGACTGTCAGTGTAGCTGCTGATTGATCTCATCTTGGAAGTCATCTGGTGTCCCTTCAGTGCCCAGTCAACATGTGACATCACTATCTCTCCAAAAGAGAGACGGCTTGGGATCAAAATCAGTCAAACACTCTTGCACTCACAGCAGAGCACTTGGTTATCCACATGTTTGCATCCGAGAAATTTAAGTTATGACAAGAGGGTCCATCTGTATGAACTCTGTGCGGTCATGTTTGTTGAAAGATATGTAGTGTCACTAGCTAAGCTTGGAGTCCAATGCATGTACAATCTGCGTTCAACTTGATGTTGGACTTCCATGTTATGGTCAATTGACAGCTGTCAAAGTAGGTATCTGCTTACAAGTGTCACATGACTATATTGTGGGCTCAGATGTATAACTCGTTAAGTTGATAGTTTATTTAGTTGTCGCGTGACTAGTCATTGGTTTTTAATTGAACACAGACTCAGGTCCCATTTTTTTCAGGAGGAATTCAGTTTGCTTCTTACCTATTGTCAAAGTTGAATTTCTTCAGAAAGATTCAACAAGAGCTTTGCTTTTGGCCTTGGCTAAATCTATATATTTCCATGAAAAGTAAATAGAGTATGGAATTTGCCATAACATTGGTTATGTTTCTGCTCATTTGTAGTCCCTTGTAGAACTTGATGCATTATTTTACTTTATAGAATTATTCATGAACATGGTTATACTCAAGAAGAGTGTGCACAGTACAAACAAGTTGTATATAGCAACACGATACAGTCAATGATTGCCATAATCAGGGCATTAGGAACTTTGAAGATTGAATTTGGTCACATGGATAGAGCAGTAAGTATACTATTATTTTCCTTGGAATCACAGATCATTTTGATTGTCAACCCCTAGCAGTTAAATTTGTGTAGTATACAGCTGCACGGTAAAAATATCACTTAAAACAATAAATCTGTCTATTCTACAATTGATAACAAGGCAACACATGAATTGAGGGTGAGTGTTCAAAAATGGCCCTTTTGGCCAGTGATTCCATTGTGATATTTACCTTTGTCACTTAAACACAAGGTAATGTAGAACGAGTTTCTAAAAGGTTATCAGAACTCTCGTGGCAGATAGTTTTTATCACAATATAAATTTCCACTTATGAACAAGATATTTTTCACTAATGTGAACACACCTTTTTTTAAGTGCCCGCTCTAGAATTCGGGCATGGTTCTGGTGCCTGAGTACAAGGTTGAGACCTTGTACTCAGGCACTAAAGTAGGCACCGGGTCCCTGTTTGCATGTGTTTTCAGTTGGTTCCAAGGAGTTTTACCCACAGTCAATTTCTTCGCTCCTTTTGCAAAAACGGCGTCTGCTGACGAAGCAAAGAGGACAAAAGACAACTTGGGTACCCAGAGTGTGGACAAAGCACCATTTTGTACTGTGCCCGGGAACTAGTGCCCTGACACTAAATGTGAACGCACCCTTATTTGTCATTTGTCAGCTGTAGAGTCTTGTAGAGGGCCCACAGAGTTTATTGTTTCTTGTATTCTATGTTCATGGCCCTTGTATCACGATTGTATGGTATCGTAGGAAAATGCATTGTGCGGCCGTGCCATGCAGGCTTTCTTCCAGCAATCCGTGCAGTTGTTTGTTGGCTTCTTTTCATTTCATGTATGTCGTTTTCAGGATGATGCACGGGAGCTGTTTGCACTAGCAGGAAGTATGGAGGATGTAAAGTTCACCCCTGAGCTTGTGTCGATAATGAAGAGATTATGGAATGATTCTGGAGTACAAAACTGCTTTTCAAGATCAAGAGAGTTTCAGCTAAATGATTCTGCTGCATAGTATGTAAACAGTTGTTGTTTGAAATGTGGGGTCCCTGAAAATATCCATGCCCATCATATATGCAGAGTCTTTGAAAATTCTGTTGGGGGGGGGGGGGGGGGGGGGGGTTTTCCAGAAAAAGCCAAAGGTTTGCAAGGGATTTTTTTACCTTTATTGAGAAAAAAATTCAAAAAGGTTTTTTAATTTGGGCGGCAAAAAAAAAAAACCACCAAAGGGGGGAAAAGGTTTTTTTTTGACCAAAAAAAAAAAGCACCACGAAATACACAAACTTTTTTGATGTGGGGTGGAGGACAACGTGTGATGCGCGGCCCTTGCTGGTGTTGGTTGACAGAATTTTTTGGGGGGGGGGTGGGCGGTCTTGCATGTAAGAGCCAAAGTTTTGAAAGGAATTTATTAACCTTAATTGGAAAAAAATTCTAGAAGGTTTGTTGAATTGGGGGGTCAACAAAAATATCCCACCAAAGGGGAGAACAGTTATTTTCTGGACCAACAGAATAAGGCACCTGTAATTCAGTAAATCTTCTGAATGTGCAATATCCACCACTAGGGTATTGTAGCATGTCTCATGTTTGGCAATGTAATTCAAGGTTGTTGTAACAATAGGCATTGTTTGCGAGTAGTCTCATTATCGTGTGTGAACTTAAGCGACATGCATCTGACTAATTACACAGTTGGTGTAACACTTCTTGGTAGATAATAAACCTAAAAAGACTTGATTTCTTCCGAACTAAACAGTTGTGCTCGAGGTAAAAATTTAAGGAAGTCCAATGCTACACCTGTATCTGTTTAAGCCCCAAAATCCACATACAAATTCTTCAAACTGATCTCCATACATTCCTAATTCTCTTGCGAGCACCCTTCACCCAGGTTATAATATAAACATAATCTCTTGGGGTATACATGTTCATGTACATGGCACAGCTGTAGTTAAGCACTGAGTTTCATCGTTAAAAATGTACATTTAACTAATACTATTGAAATGGAAGTGAGCATATAATTTAGAAAGCTGACAGAATGTCAGTATTTAGTGGACCAGTCCAATCAAAATTAACAGATTAAATTCTTTTTCCTTACACTTCCAGTTACTTGAATGCACTGGATAGATTAGGATCACCAGAATACATACCAACAGAGCAAGATGTTCTTAGAACAAGAGTCAAAACAACGGGGATTGTTGAGACTCATTTTACATTCAAAGATCTCCACTTCAAGTAAGTCATCTGCTTAGTAACTTTAAGCATAGCCCTTTGACTCCCAAAAACGATTATAACTGTGCTGCTGTATCTATTTCTCTTCTTTAATATTTACCCAAGTCAGTAAGACAGGTTCCAACAATGTTACTCTAACCCTTTAACTCTAAAAGAGGTACCCTGTAATAGACCTGCCATGAACATGTCTATTTTGAAAAAAAAGTATTGATCTTTTCAATGTTTAAAGCCTTTGTTACAGGCTTTCTGAGAAATGACCCCCCCCCCCACCCCACCCCCCAGGAAATTGACTTCCAAGATGTCAATGTTAGGGTTTCCTATTTACAGTTAAAAAAAAAACAAGGAATGCATATTTCTGGCTTTTCCTTGATAATATTATAACTGATAAAGAAGAGACTAAACCGAATTCATGCTCAGATAGCTAAGTGGCTCTTGAATACCCAGACTATGGTCGCAAATTTCTGGAGATATTTTTCACTTCTATTGGACAAAAAGGGCTTAATTTTTGGTTGTGTTCAGTTTTGTAGCAAATTTGCAATTAGCCTTTTGATGAACCTGTTTTATGTTTTGTCTGGTTTTTTTGATGTTTCGCAAAACAAGATATAAATGTAAACATGGCCACTTTGAGCAGTCTTATAATTTAAAATTCACGTTTTAATTCCCTTTGATGTTTAATTTTTTTTGACCAAAAGTTCTTGATAATATTGTACACCAATGTAGCACTAACTGTTCATGGTTACAAATATCCTGTGGACTGTTTCAGCAGATTATTTTTTATAAGGAATAGTAATAATGAGGAAAGAAATTCTGAAAAGGTAGGACGAATTTTAATAACTTGTTTTTTTGTTGATGTTGCAGAATGTTTGATGTTGGAGGGCAGAGATCTGAAAGAAAGAAATGGATTCACTGTTTTGAAGGTGTGACCGCCATCATCTTCTGCGTTGCTCTCAGTGCATATGACTTAGTACTGGCAGAAGATGAAGAAATGGTAAGATACAGAGTCGTGTTAAAGGCCCCAAAATGTTGTCCTAAAGTGGCCTCAGAAACTGTGTTGCTGTGAGCCCAAGAGTCAGAGACACAGTAAGGAGGCTTTAGTTGTGGAATGGCAGTGTTTTTGGTGGGATTTAGTCTCATCATTGCTTTGTTAAAATGTGGTAGGAATAGAGGGCTTCCGCCTATGTATTGATGGATTATAAACAGGCAAAATTGGGCACAGGCGAACAAGTGCATTTAGAAAATTATAATATTATAGGGATACTGTTTGTAGTGCATATGAAATTTGAACAGGGAAAATCCTTAGCAGCTGCTGGGAGATTTCTTTTGATTGCACTTCTTTGCAGATAAAAACTGCATCTAGCACATGCTGTCACAGAATTTTTTTCGTTACCTTCCTTCCATTTCAAGATTAACTGGGGTTTTGGCAGCCATTGTTAGTGATGTCTTAATTGTACTAAATGATGCCCCTTTGTTGTTTTACAGAACCGAATGATGGAGAGTATGAAGCTGTTTGACTCCATCTGTAACAACAAATGGTTCACAGATACATCGATAATCCTTTTCCTGAACAAGAAGGATCTTTTTGCAGAAAAAATCACCAAGTCACCTTTGACCATCTGCTTCCCTGAATACACAGGTAAACTGAGACTTCAGGACAAAGGAAAATAATTGTTAACTGTAAAGGGAAGATAAGCTTTAAAAAAAGACAAAAAAATATTCATTGTGTATAATTATGCCTTTAAAGCGTCAAATTTGGAATTTCTCTGTTTTTGTCATGGAAAGCTTATTTACCCTTTACGTCCCAATGGTGACCGACAGCAATATTCTCCTAAAATTTTCAGTACATAGTCAGGTAGAAAGGTGATGAGAATTGAGGAAATGATCACTTAAGTAAATATGCTTTGATCTTTTAACAAATTCTCTCAAGCAATTTTTCAAGAAATGTATGGAGGCTAGTTGGAGAATTTGTATGTGGATCTTGGGGCTTGAAGGGTTAATGCTTTGACAATATTTGTGATGTTAGGCTCAAACACATATGAGGAAGCTGCTGCCTACATCCAACTTCAGTTTGAGAACCTTAACAAGAGAAAGGACACAAAGGAGATATACACCCACTTCACATGTGCCACAGACACCAACAATATACAGTTTGTGTTCGATGCCGTCACGGATGTCATCATCAAGAACAACCTTAAAGACTGTGGACTCTTCTAAACTGCATTGGACCTTATTGGGGTATGTGAGATAGGTGTTACAGTCACACGAGACTATGTTATCTGCACTTAACAAAATTAATAGAGGATATTACACTGCAGAGATACAAAATTTCTCTTCAAGTCCTGAAAATGTGCGAACGAGTGAAATATTTTGGAACGTGTGAAGATAAATTTTGTATCTGCAAGCGGCCATGTAATGTATTATTTATTATAAACATTATTGAAATGCAGAACCAGTTTACTTAATTTTTCTGTTGTTGCGAAAGTTGCGATGTATTATCTGGCCATAGCAATAGTGATCTTTACACATGTGAAGATAACATGTTAGTTTCACGTGAAGATGTCATGTTTTTGCCCGAAAGGTCACCTGGTATTTCATTGGCGTTTATATAATAGAAGAAGTTAATAGACAACAATATACTGATCCTTACAGACCATAAATTACGTCAAAATGTTTAAAACTAAGGGCCTGTTTACATGGAAGTGGGGACCCCAGGTAGGTGAGGTAACCCACCTGTCCTTATAATCTCTCATTTCAATTTGATCACGTTTACGTGATAGGTGTTACCTCACCTACCTGGGGTCCCCCGCCTCCATGTAAACAGGCCCTAAGGAAACAAATGGACGGAGAGTGTGTTCACCGCAAAATTTGAGACATTTTGACATCATCACTGGCTTTTAAGAGAAGTATCGTATATTTACAGAGAAAAATTCCTAATCAAATTTTGCAACCCACCCAGATCCCTTTTTTATTCAGCTGCAAAACTTTTCCATAAATTGGAGGAACGTGGTAGCCTTGATTACAATTCATTTCCCTTGTTCGTTGTTGCCTACTGTATTTGTTTTTTTCTTTGAGTAAAATTTGTGAGCGCCATTTCTGGCAAAGTTTCTTGGAAAATTATACACAAACTGAAAGTAAGAGGAAATCAAAATACGCGATCATTGCAGTCTCCATTGTCTTTACTCTCATAGCCCATAGGTCTAAATCATCAAGTCTGTAAGAAATCACTCAGTTACCATGCAACCCTGATAAAACGAAGTACCAAGGGACTGGCTAATTTTGTTCGCTGTAACTAGGTTTTGTTATATCGAGGTTCTTTTCCATATACGTATTTTACTATTACTGGGATAAACAAAAGCGTTCGTTTTACCGAGGACTTCATTATAATAATTTTATAGAGGGTTCCACTTATATTGTTAAGAGGAGACTGTTGACAAACTCCAGGGTGATTGGTAGTGTGGTGAAACCGTGTTGTTAGTTTCTTTTATCTAACTTTGCCAACAAAGTGAAGTACGTAGGAAGAGTTATCAGATATCAAAACATGTTGTGGTGCGTGCATGAATTCCTTACAGTGGTTTTGGGTTGTTAATGAGGTTGAGGAAATAAACCTAGAATAATAGGCTTTTAGAATATTACAATAGTCACTCTAAACTTTATAGCACTGACCTTACGTTGAAGTAACCTTTCGTGAAAGCCTTTTCAGTATTTAGGAAGCTTTAGCAACGACGACAGCGGCAGTAACGAGAACGTCAAAAAAGCAATGGGTTTATTAAGCAAAACAACAACTTTGCACGTGCATCACGCTTTTTTTACATTCCATTGCACTCCTTGCCCGACTATGACGAAAACAAGTGTCGACGACGATTTTTTCTTTCTCTCTCTAAATTTGAGTGCGGTCCCCAAGAAATCAACTCCGGGGAAATTTCAGGGAATTGGAATAAACGCCGTCTTCGTCGACTATGCTAAAGCTCCCTAATCAGAACAGTCTGTCACCGGACAGCGGCTGATTAGAATTTGCGCAACATGTCTGACCGTCAGTCATGATGACCTGATAGATAAATTACCATTTTGAAGAGGAAGACTTAATATTTGTGTTATTCAATTTTCTTTCAGGTCTGACAGAGTATTTGTTTGTACAAAAGATGTGCCGAAGACTAGTTTTGTGTACAGACCTTGACAGATGTTTTTATAAGAATATTCAGTAAAAATTATCTCTGCCCTTAGTAGACGCGTCCTGCTTCAGCCATCAAAGAAATATCGTACACACACGAAGATCAACCACAATAATTCAGGCAGACGTGGAGACAGTGTACCAGCTACGAATTATGCATTCAAAGAGTTTCAGCCTTGTAAAAAGAAATGCCAAATCTATTAAAACTAATTTAATGTCCAAATTTAATATCTTGAGGGAAAGTAGCCCCCAAGGCGGACTTAATTTGGGCTTCGTCATGCATCCCTTCTCCCCCCCCCCCCCCCCCCCCCCCCCCCCCCCCCCCCCCCTCCCCCCCCCCGTCTCCCCCCGGGGGGGGGGGGGGGAGGGCGGATAAGTAGAAGTCTTGTTGGGTGTGTTTGTTGTTGGTTGTTTTTTTTTTTTTTTTTTATTTTTTTATTATTTTTCTTGTGGTTGTGTGGGGAGGGGGGGTGATGGGGTGTGTTGTAGGGGTTTGTGGGGTGGTGTTTGTGTTTGGGGGTGGAGTATGTGTGTTAGTGGTGGTAAGTGTATTTGTAGGTTTTGTTGTTTTTGGTGTTTTTGTGGGAGGGCGCGGGCGGGGAAGCAGAGGATTGTGGGGGGGGGGGGGGGGGGACAGGGGGGGGGGGGGGGGGGGGGGGGGGGGGGCAGTCTCCATAAAACAATCAAAAATTTATTAAAATTATCAATATATCCTTAACAAAATTGGATGTGGTGAAGAGCCCCCCCGGGGGGCAATTCTCTGGGTGCCCTTCCCCACCCCCCCCCCCCCCCCCCCCCCCCCCTGTCCACTTCCTCCTGCGTGACTTTGCCCAAAGATTGTCCGCGTGGGAGGCCAGAGGGAGGTAGACAAATTACGTGGTGCATTGTTTTGTATGTTAGTTAAGCTTGTAATTACTAATGTTATTATGCATTAAGTCATAAGTGTGGCTTGATTATTGTTGACCAAATGATGTTCATGATCTGTGACGTAATAAACCCCTTTTATGGAGAAACGTAAATTCAGAGTATCTAACGCATAAACTTGTGAAGAAATTTTCATTAAATCTGGGAAAGTTAGGGCTCACCTGTGGTGGAGAGCGGTGGTTTTTATTTTCAGGACGGAAAATAACCTCAAAGAGCCTTTCTTAGCGATATTCAAGTGTCTTACTGCGAGAAGAGGTGATGCCTGACTACTTGACGCCACATTTTAGTCGTCCAGGAATGTCACGCAACTTGGTGTTACGTGACGACCCTAAACGCCGGCAGCGAGTTCGTAGTGTGAAGGAAATGTCTCGTTTAATATGTTAATTAAGCGATATTATGTCATTCGCTGCTGTGTTAATTCAAAAGGAACTTATCTGTATATTAGCGATCTTGAATGATTCAGCAAGATCAAGAGACTATTATTAAAAGGATGATTTTAAAGACTATTTCGTTGTTGTTTGTGTATGGTACAATTGCTTTTACCTGTTGTGATTGACTTATACTTGGGTATAGTTTGTAGTGCTGTACAGTACTTTGTTGGTCTAGTTGGTGTAGCTCGTTGGTATAGCATTTTACTGGGGTAGTTGGTTTAGTTCATGTAACACAATAGATAGTTTGAACCCAGGAGTTACGTCTTAATTATGCGGAATATGATCGTCTGTGTATAGGCCTGTTATTGACAGGGACTAGCGTTTCGACACTGTGCGGTAGTGGTCATCAGAGTTAGTCGGCACGTTAGTGGTATATAGTTAGTGTGGTTGGTATATAGCACGTTGGCGTAGCATGTCACGGAGATATTGTTGTTGGCATGGTGTAGCTTGTATAATAATAGTAATAATGGTAACGATTATTATCATTGTTATTATCGTTATCATCATCATCGTCATCATCATTATTATTATTATCATCATCATTAATATTATGATTATTTCATATCATATTATTTCTTTACCCTCGGCAGTATTAGCGTGCGAACGGCAGTATTTACAGCGCAAAGGCTAATGGGGCAAGCTCTTCACTGAAACAAATAACTCAAATGAACACAACAAGGTTATGAACCCAAACTGGCCAAAGGCAAAACCAGTTAGCTATTTACAAGCGTGGTCGAGGATTTGAATTCGGGAATACCTTGAACAAATCCAGCCAGAGGTGATTTATTTTTGTTACCTCTGCGTCCTGCGTCTCTGACGCATAAAAATCCCCAAAGACGCAAAATAATTCATTGCACTCGTCCTGTAGGACGCAAAGATCGATCGATTGATCAGAAGACGTTTTAGTACAATATCCTGTTCGTGTGATTTCTGGGGGTGTTCTTGTGGCTGTCTTAGTTCTGCTTTACAATAGGAGTCTGTCTTCAGATTAAGTATAATATATAAACTTACGTAAAGGCCCAAGCCTATAATTTTGGGCCAAACTTGGAAATTTTTCCAACGTTTCTGTGTGGTAGAAATGTATAAAAAATGGTGTTTCATGAGGCTTTGGAAAGTGACAAGGGAACATAGACCTTTAACAACGACTTCGATTTTGGCTCCCAGCCATCTAGGATTTTTCACAAAGGGGTTTACCTATGTTTTTCGTCAAAGTTGGAAATTTTATCTACTTTTGAGTTTGGTAAAAATGAATCGAAGCACTGTTTCATAAAGTTTTGGAGAAGTGAAAGGGCAACTAGAACATTAACAGAGATTTCGACCTCAACTAACGGCTACCTTGGATTTTTAACAAAGGGGCCACCCTTTGATTTTCGGTCAACTGCTAACTGGGGCAGTTAGTACTTGTTACAGTTAGTCCACCGGTTGTTCCGTTGGTATTAGCGAAAAGTTGATTTAGCTAGAGTAGTTGACACATAATTATAGCTAGAGTAGTTGCTAAAGTATTCTGTGTAGGTAGCGCATTGGTTGGTGGTTGGAAGTTTCACAACACTGCACTGAGTTGGTGAGGAGAGCTCCTGGGATCAATGAAATAAAACTTCAACACGTGTAATTTACAAGTGTAACGATTGTTTTAGGATTTGAAAACAATCACTAAATTCACCCCTGATTTGGAATAATGGCATCACAGTTGGTGTAGTCCGTGATTGAACAATACGCTTGTATCATAAAGACATACTAACCTAAAAATGTTCCCGGGCGCCAGACATCGGACGTGAATGCTAACGTCTGGAGTTAAAAGAGACTGGGTTGAACTCCGGACATCAGTTACCAAGTGCAACGTTAAAAATCTGTGGAACTGACCCCTGATCACCCTTCAATAGCTGGAGTGGGCGTTGCAAATTAGTTCCCCATAACCACAGCAGCTCTGTTGTATACATTTAGAACTTTGATGAGACTCGAACTTGAGTCAATTCGACACAAATTAAGTCAGAAAAACAGACTGGAGACAATTCAACACGAGCTAAAGTGAATTCGGCACAAGCTAAACTTAATTTGGTCTGAGATTTTCGTACTGATGTAGCAAAGAAAACCCAGTAAAAGATTAGCGTAAGTTCGTGCTGCCCAAATCGATTCTTCATTTTCCCCCAATTTTGTAGCACATAAGGCCTCGTTGGAAGTAACTTGTGTGAAGTGACAAAAAAACTGACTTAAAGCATAGGGATGTTGCAGCATATATTTGCATCTAACGAAAATTGTTTACAAGCTATGAACAACCGAAGAAACAAGTAACATGTAACAACTGTAAACAGACATTTATTGACTGCAACATGACGGCAAAATTTTGAAAATGGTTTCGTACAAAAACAAATAAATAATACAGCGACATAAACCGAAGTCTTAAAGGTGAAACTTAACGTAAAAATCATGGAAAAATAACGAGAATATTCTGTTCCCCTACGCAAGATTCTCTAGATCGAAAACCTTTAGGGGCGCAAATATCTAACTCTGATATCAAATATATATATTCGCCATACAGTTGTTTCTGCGCGGGATACTACTTTTCAATGGAAAATTAAATAATATCTCTACTGCGGGAACAAAACTCAATATTATTTTCGAAAATGGCTGTTCTACGAACTATTCAAAGATTGAACAGGACGGAAGTACCTGTTAAAACCGGCATAAGTTAATATAAAATCAATGGAAGAAAAAAATTCGATCCCTTCGTAATACAGATTCTAAATCAAAACCAAAATCTACTTTAAACAAAGATGAAACTTCCCATTACCATTTTCATCAAGTTTGCTTATAAATAACGGGCACGAAATGCATCATTATATAATGTAACTGCCTGTTTTTTCTGAATAAAATCTCGTCAGAGTCAGTTGAAACTGCCTAATAACTTTGATCGCTTAAGTTTAACTTATTTCGCATCATTATACTGACGAAATCTATTTCACCTATAATATAGCTCACTACAATAATAACATTTATATAATATTTTTTTCATGCATATGCATGAAAATCTTAAGTATTTGAAGAAAATGTGTTAGCATAAGAAGGAAGAACGATTAACGCATTCTCAATAGAGTGGTTTTCGTTTGAGTTACGTAAAACCAAAACCAAAGTAATTACTCTGGCCAATCACATAGGACACAGACAATACTTTGAACCAATCAAAACTCGAAGTAATTACATGTGGCTGACGCAAAGCGCGGGAAAATGCATGCGAGCGCGTCACAATTGGCTTTGGTTTTACTTCTGATTGGATGAAAAGGTGGCGCGAATCTTTTAAGCCAATCGCATCGAGTAGAAAGTGCAAAACCAATTACTTTTCGACACTCAAATGAAAACAGCTCTATACTTCAGTGTTTCCAAGGACTTCCACAAATAAAGCGACCGATTGGAAAACACAAAATTTGTTAATGCGGATGTGAAAGCAAGGCCTAGCTCAAACTTCGAACTTTTCATGGGACGAACTAAACTCTGATTTGGGTCGACCTAAATAAAGTTATGATCGTCTGTTGGGTCAGACGTCGAACTTGGGACGCGTCGAACTAATCAACTGATCAGACCAAAAAGCAATTTAAGCCCAACAAATTTGTAATTTATTAGTTTAGTTCGCCGCATGTGAAGATCAACGTTTGAAAGCGCTCTTTCTAGCGGAGTTGACGGATTTTCCTCAACTTGCCATGTCAAAAGTTGAAAAAAACGTCTATAATGAGAACCGCTAAAATGCAAGGCTCGCCTTACCCGGTCGGGTAGCAGCCAATCAGAAGAGCGGATTCACTCCAGCCCGCTCGTGGAGCCAGTTGTGTAATATAGGAAATCGATGAATTATCAGCTGCATTAGAGAGTGATGAATAAATGCTAATAAAGCCAAAATTATGAACCGAAGTTCAATAATATATTTTCCTGTCTCTATTGACTAACTCGACTCCACCACCTCCCCCAAAGGGATGAGGCGACGGCAACGAGGCTTACAGGTGACTGTATCGAGATGCGACGTAGGAAGTTAATGGCGAATATATCTTCTCCCTGTATAACAGTTTTCAATCGAGTGTGCAAGTCTTGCGAAGCAACCTCCACCAATCAGAAGTAAGACTGTGACATTGCCGCGCGTTTTTCCCGCGTTTACCGTCCATCCGTCTACACGTACAGACGTAATTCGAGCTCTGATTGGTTTGTTGGTTTGTTTGCTTCACTGGCCTAGACTGACTATTCCCTCACTTCTCTCGGGGGTAGTAAAACGAGCAAAATATGCTAGCGCGCGTGAAATCGCTAGCCACGAGGTAGGCCACACGCGTGTCGCTTTCCTCGCAAAGGAAAATGTTTTTACGCTCGCTTCGTGTATCGCTTATTCTACTATTCCTAAGGAAAACGAGGAAATACTTGTTGTCTGCTGTTTCGAGACTCCATTGAAAAATGTTGAATGAGTACTCTGTATAGCTGTTACTCCCGAACTATTTACAAAATTAATACGGAATAAGTATGAATGATTTAAGGTGAGACGGTATACATCACCACTGGATTCATCAGAAGAGCCTCTTTTCGTACCTGCAGAAGAAAAGAATCCAATAAGTTTGACAAGAAAACCTGTATTAAGCGGTTAACCCCGGAGAATGGCCGAGTGACTTCTTAACAAGTTGCAAAAAGAGCTTAAAGGAAGATGGTAACATTCAAGAGTGTCCAGCACAAAGCTTAACAGCAGCCCATAAAACGGAGCGAGTAACACCCATGCCAGGCTTATGTCACGGAGTTCTCACGGGCCAGTTTATTTCAGATATATTTTAGAGCACTCCGTCCGCTCCATCCGTGAGTCAATCAAAGTATAAGATATCAAAAAAAAAAAAAAAACTAAGCATCACTAAAAAATCATAAATACCATTTTGAGGACTGTAGATGTTGGTGACTGATATTCTAAATTCGCACCAAAATCGTTCTAAAAATAAACTGGTCGGTGAAAACGGTGTGACACGAGTACAGGGAAATTGCTCGCTCCAGGTTATAGACTCCTGATCTCAGAAGGATTTTCTGACTCTCCTTGTGCAAAATAAAAGGAATAGGGAATTTAATAAACAGAACGACAGCCACGTGTCACATACGTGCTAAGTGACCGATAAAGAGAGGTCAGTTTTACAGTAACTGAGGGAAATGGTTTCTGCGACTTCAGCCAGTGACCACATTATCAGCGGCTGAATACTAAATACAGGTTCCCTCAACACAAACTTGACTGTAACAAATCGACTGCTAACTCGCAGACGTTCCTGTGTAGAAGGCTCTCGAATGAAAGCTGTGTGCGCAATGAGGAGGAAATTACAAACAAGTTTTCTTACGAGTGCAATCCATGAACTCCTCCCTCAATCTGTGCTGAAGTAGTCCTCTTCTCAAATTTGAGCTCTCCAGAGTACATCATAGATCTAAAACAAATCCACCAGTACGTTACGCTACTCAATGAGTCTCCAGATCTCTCCCTTGCCGTTTTTCTCACAGCATTGCAATGTTTATGCGATGTAAAGAAATTCATTCAAATAAACTACCCAGGGCCTTGGAACTGTCATTTTGCTTAGATTTTGGGCGGTCTTGAGGGATAAGAAGCGAGTCTCTTTTGCTCTTGTTCGTCTCGCGGCTTTGCCAGCTATAGACTGAAAAACAGTCGGTTTTTTTCTTCAAAATCGTTTAGCCTAGCGTTAGAGTCTCACACGCCCGAAGCGCGCGAGCCTCACGCACCCGTAGGACGTGTGAGGCGAGAGGAAAAAAGCGTCTATCGCCGGTCTGGCTCTCCGTTTTCAGACTCGCTCCAAACCTTTCATTTGATTGTTTGCAAAGTTGTTGTTTTGCTGATCTAAACCCGTTGTTTTTTTGGAGTTCTCGTTGCCGTCGCCGTCGTCGTTGCTTAAGCTTTCTGATGTCTTCCCTAAGCCAAACGTCAACTTGCCGCTCAGGCGGGGGCTTGAACCGCTCGGAAGTTCTTTTGGTTCCATTTTCCTTTATTTTTCTATGAAAGTAGCCGGGGGTCACACACATAGTAGCCGAAGGCCCCCACCCCTTAAAAAACGGCCCCAATTTACTGGCATCATGGAGGGTTGAAGTAAATACTCCTTTGGGCTCCCTGTGTGGCGCTTCCCGGGGCCGCGATGGCAGGCAAGCGCCACGATTCTGAGTGTGACAACTTGAAAAATTTTCTCCTACACAAGGGGTTCCATTGTTATTTAAAACCAGTTTTGAAGTAAGAACCAACCTTAGCTGAGTGAGACTCTTTGCTCCCAAGTCTTGGCAGCCGTGTTGAATCCCGGTGCATAGATATGGTGAAAATCGGTGGATGGAGCCCTTATCTGCCACTGACCCTGATACTCCTTGGGCTACTTTCACCTTGTCGTGTTCACTTCAAAAAAAATCAGTTTAACATTGATGTTAAGTGTTTAACCTTAAGCCAAATACAATACTTCAGGAAAGGTGCCGTCGAGTCAGAAAAAAGGGAGGAAAGCATGGTCTCCATGGCAACCCAGACACCGCCCACCTGCAGTCACTTATCAACAGCATTGAGAAACTATTGTGTGGAGGATAAAGTCTGACAGACAAGTGAATGGGGCGGGGAGGAGGGAGGACGAAAACAAGCACATCAAGTAAACATGCAATTAAAATGCAAAACAGTCCCACAATGCACAACACCGGCCCAGTCTTGCATACAAGGGAGTTTAAGATGCTACGACGACGACGACAACGAGAACGTCAAAAAAGCAATAGGTTGAATAAGGCAAAACAACAACTCTGCACGTGCATCACGCATTTTTGTACATTTCTTTGCCGTCACTGCACAACTACGACTTGAAGGGCCTAATTTCACGTATTATCGACAACTTGAACATACGACGACGAATTTCTCTTTCTCCCTCTAAACCTGAATTTCTTTCTTAAGAATTCAGCTCCAGGAACGTTTGCCCATATTGGACAAAGTGAGCGAGTTAAGATAATCGCACTGAAGTTTCAAAGAACGCGAAGTCACTTTTTAAGTGACGTTTTACCGCCGTCGCCGTCGGGGTATCTTAAAAACTCTCTACAACCTCAGAATGGCCAATCATTACAAATTTGTTAATTGCGTTCAAGAAGTTGTATCACCTGAAGTATCTTTGCGCGCCGCCCTTGTTCTCCATTGCACTTAACGATCCCATTCCTGAAAAGAAAACAGTGAAACCAAAATTATGTCAAAAATTCCAAGCGGGAAGGAAACTGGCTGGGTCAATTTTCGCAAAGACTTCTGGGACTGTTACTAGTCACAGGGAGGGGAGGGGAGGGGTGGGGAAGTACATGTACGATCCCAGAAGCAATTGCAGGACACATCTCGGCTCCAGTCTTCTTGTCGTTTCTAAACTTTCAACTCATCAATAACAACTGATAAACTCGGTAACTGATGAGAACACTTAAGGATTCTAAGATACTCACCTCTGTATTTTTTAAGTCTGACACCATCAGCAAAGAAATATTCGCCTGGGGCTTCTGTTGTACCAGCTAACAAAGATCCCATCATAACTGGAAAGTTAAGTAATACGATAAACCAAAATTTATGTCATAAAGGACATTAATTTGGACATTGTGTGTTAATTTTAATACCAAACCTTTGGGGGTTCTTGCTTAAAACTTCTTCAAAATATTATTTCAAAAGCTATAACAAACAAAGGAATTGTTTTACGTATTTATCTTCCCCCATTTTTCTTCCATCACTGCCTTGGTTTTCAGATACATTGAGTGCCCAGTGCTAAACCTAACGTAATATTACAGTGTAGGGGGCTTAAACACTGACGACGGCGACGGCAGCGGAATTGAATTCGTGATTTTTCAAACTTTGTCACGATAATTCCCACTCGTTTAAAATGTCAAACGTAGGTAAACTTCCCTGAAATTGATTTCTGAAGGACAATATTCAAAAGAGAAAAAATAATTATTTGTCGTCGTCTGTTTACATCCTCCGAAAAATGTCACATAACGAAATTTCACATCCTTGTCGTGCAAAGACGGCAACGAAGAGATGTACAAAAACGCCTGATACAAGTGCGGAGTTGTTGCTTGTTCTTCGTTGCGGTCGCCGTCGTGTTACTAAGCTCCTTTATGTTACAGTCAGGGCAACATCGATTGGTAATTGAAATGTCACGTCCTAATCGTGCAATGGCGGCAAGGAAATGTACAAAAGAAAAAGCGTAATGCATGTGCAGAGTTGTTGTTTCGCTTGTTAAACCTATTGCTTTTTCTCGATGCTGCCGCCGTCGTCGTTGCTAAGTCTCCCTTATGTAACAGTCAGAGTAACAGCGTTTGATAAACATATCGTACCAGTTGATGCTCCCAAGCTGAGCGCTTTAGAAATATGCCCCACATTCTGAATTCCACCATCAGCAATCACAGGGACCCCAAAGCGTCTTGCATACTCCGCTACCTTGAAAACAGCAGTTGCCTGTGGCCTGCCCACTGCCATGACCTCCTGAGTGATGCATATGGAGCCAGCTCCCATGCCAACCCGCAATGCATCTACTCCGGCATCGATAAGGTTCTTTGCCTGTGCCGCGGTTACCACATTACCGCCAACCACTTGCAGATCTGGGTAACGCTCTTTTATAAACCTAGGTAGAGTGATTTGTTCAAAATAATCACCGGTTCCATGATAAAACTTCTAACAGTAATTTTAATAACTTATTTCCATCTAAAACCTGCAGTAGACTGAAGACAACTACTAGAGAGATTAAGATTCACGTTTACCGTAAACGGCAAACATCCGCCTCAATTTGAGAATTTGTCAGAATCGAAAATAAGCAGATAAAAACAGCCCCGAACGATTCCTATGGTTAAAACTGGCATAAAACTACTTATTTTTGTGTAGAAGCAATAAAGAATAAACGGAAAATGAGGGGAAAACTTGGTCACGTGGTACAAATTCACGTCTGCCGTTTAGCGTAAACGTGAATCTCTCTACTATCACGTTTTCCCGCCAAAATGATGCAAGTTCATCTGTGCGCACTATTTAGCCCGTTCCAGGCGCTCAGATGGTGGGGACGGCGTGAAGAGATGTGAGCACAAAAAAACAGCGAGGAGGTAAGGTGGGTTTCCTCCATTTTTTCCCGCTCTCTTACTTCGCGTCACACTCCACTATCTGAACCCTTGGAACAGGCTACTTAGTTTTGAGAAAATCTCGTCCTCTTTATAGTCGTCCTCGTTTTAGAATGTAAAGCAGTGCCGGATACAGACCTTGAGATAAGGGGGGGGGGGGGGGGGGGCGCCCCCCAAACTTTTTTGTCTTGCCGCTTCGGCCCCGGTTGGCTTCAAAATATATTTTGGGGGGGGGGGGGTGGCGCGTCGGAGGGCGTCACCTGGGGGTGGGTCCGCTCTCCAAAATACTTATTTTGGCCCTTCGGGCCTCAGTTTGGTCTGAAAATAAGTTTGGGGGCGGGGGGGGGGTCGGGCCCACCGGGCCCCTCCCCTGGATCTACCACTGTAGAGGTCTATAATAATAATGTATCTCAGTAAAGTACATCACACCAGCCATCAGATTACTAAAGAGTGCATCAGTTAAACACAGTTTTTGTCGTATGCACCGTCATTACAGGGTGTTTGTCCTCTGAACACTCGTCATGGAGTCAGGTGCAAATTTCTCTTGGTTTGATTTTACAATGGGTAGCCATGGAAAAGGGAAACCATCAAGATTTCAAACCGCTATAATGATGTACTGAAACTCTGGTTTAACATTGATAGTCAGCTGTAACCATAGTCATCATCACTTGGCTGATGTATTGAAACCCTAATACAGTGAAACCTCTATTAAGCGGACACCTTCGTGTCTGCTTAATAGAGGTTTGAAAAAATTGTGCAATGTTCGCTAACGATTTACATTCAAAGGTTACCCTGTACTGTGATAAAGTTCCACGTTGTTAAGAAAGCTATCCAGAGTTCAAGTTCATTACTTTTCATTGCCAACCGGATAACGGTCTAATCTCCAGTTTATTGACAGCTAAATGTATTGATTTATCTTTATTAATCGACTACAATACATATTCCCAGAACGTAATCCAATACTGCTATTGTCGACTCAGTCCGGTGTCCGCTTAACAGAGGTTTTTCACAAAAGAAATTAGCCAAATACAATTAATTTATTTTAGTATCCGTGTCCGCTTAATAGAGGTGTCCATTGAAGAGGGGTTCGTTATAAAGGGAAATATAAGACGGGACCCGGCTTTACCCTTAGTGTCCGCTAAATAGAGGGTGTCCGCCTAATTGGGGGTCTGCTTAATAGAGGTTTCACTGTAATTATCAGCATTCAGATTCTCTACACTTTTTTCTATACATTTCCTAAGGTACGATGAGGAGAATCTCTTTGATCAGCTGCTTAACCCTTTAAATCCCAAAAGTGACTGACATCAATTTTCTCCTAATAATATCAATACGTCAACCAGAGGAAAGGTTGTAAGAATTAATCAAATGAAAATTCTTTGATCTTTATACAAACTCTCTCAACTAGTTCTTCAAGGAGATGTAAAGATATCAGTATAAGGAATTTGTATGTGGATATTAGGGCTTAAGGGTTAAGATGGAATCTATCAGGAACTTGAGTAATTTTAATTTCAGTGGACAAGAACCTTGTAGCAGAATAAATTAAAGAATATCGCATTCTTTTTTACATTTTTCAAGGGTTAAAGATGTAATAAATCATCTGTAGTAACACCAAAGAAAATTTCTCATGGAAGTCCGAGAAAATGAATGTCAAGTTTCACAAGAATTGTGATTACACAGGTAAAATTCTGAAAATTTCATGTGAAAGATGTCATTTTGTGAAATTTGACATTGTTTTCTCGGGCTCTCACAAAAAGTTTTTTTTGGTGTTACTACAGATGATTTATTACATCTTTAGCCCTTGAAAAATGTAAGAAAGAATGCAATATGCTTTAAATTACTCTGGTACAAGATTTTTGTCCACTGAAAATCAAAATTACTCGATGTCCCACTGGATTCCGTCTTAATTTTCATGATCGACCCATTATTTTACTTAGCAGTGATATTTCTAGGAGAAATGTGATTGCAGTTGTGATTGGGGTTTAAAGGGTTAATACAGATTTCCAGCTTTATCTTTATACAATTGGCTGAATACTACACACACTGAGGAAGATTGGAAAGATAAAAATAGTGACCGTCTGTTTAGGGCCCCTTTTGACTCTTCCCAGCTCCTCTACTCTATTAGAAGTCAGCATGGCAATTACATGAGCAGTAACATTTGCACCTCCATGGTTCAGTGCAAATTTTGGGAAAAACTCATTAAGGACTAAGATCATTTTTTCAAGGACTTCTAGTAACATGAATTAGAGACCTTTAAAAATGAGTAGGTGGAGGGAGGTTCGCTTATTGTAATACCTTCCTTCATTAAGGCATGGTTCCATGAAAGATGAAGTATGCTGGGAACATTGAAATCATAAGAAAACACTTTCATGATCGCCAAGAAAATTTGTGTACGTTGCTGTTCTTTCAATCATTCCTTTGTGCAAAACATTTTTTTTTAACGACGGTTATTTCTATTCAAGGAGCTTTCAAAAATATTCAAGAACTTCTGTGGAACATTCAAGGACTTTTCAAGGCCCGTGCAAACCATGACCCCTCACAAAACAGGTGCAAAGTAAGCTACTCAATCACATGCGTCTGTGAATTCTAGATCAAATTGGAATTTAAAAGTTTTAATCTACGTGTCTATCTAGTGATCTAAAATATTTGAAAATGTTTTACATGCTAGAATCCTACAAAAGAAATGTGTACATATCAGTAAAATGACAGTTTACCTGATCATATCTAACTGAAAAATTGAATTTCCTTGAGAAGAATCAATAACCACGACATCCAAACCACTCTGGACTAAAGCTTCTAATCTCTGCTTATCCTCATCTCGAGTCCCAATGGCTGCACCCACTGAAGTCAAAAAGAGAATTTGCATTGTGTAATCATTACATGTAATTATCACTCAATGGTTTAATATCTAGTTCATAGTTTTTATTATATCCTCTATACACTTCTTATTGAAGCGGTAAGAAGGCTTAAAAACTCTAGCGTGCAAACTGGCAATTTCTTTAGGGCACATTGAAGAAAAAGTTGAAAAAAGCCAAAAAAAAAAAATTGTGAAAAATTAATGAAACGAACTGCTAGCGATGCAAGGAAAGACCACTTTCTTTCAGCACTGTATCTTTAGGTGAGCGTGGAATGGTTGGCAATTTACTTTTGAGCGTTTTGTGCTCCAGTTTTAGGTGTTTTGTTCTTTAAATTAGTAACATATACATTGCTAGAATCATGCGAGCAGTCTCTTTTTTGCTTTAAAATCTCTCAGTAAAAGCCGGGGAATGCAAGATATGGGCGGCAAATCAAAAACAGTTAATCAAGCCTTTTTCAACTGTGGGTTTCTCTCAAAAACAGCATGAAAAAAAGGGTAATTAGGCATAGGTGACAGTTGCTCTTTGCTATGGTTTTGTCTTGTTATGGATTCATATTTCTTTTTCAACCACATCAACTCGGCTACATTCACAACTGTAGCTATGTTCTCACTTTTCCGGAAAGTTTTTCACCTGGATCAAGCCTCTGTTCACACACAAGAGTGGTGATTTCAACGCAATTTTTGTAATAGAACAAGCTGCGCTATGCTGAACCCAACAGTGAAGCATATTACATATCAGATACTCTGTAGGTTCTGTGCCGAACTTTGGTGTAGTGTCAAAAGGTATTCAAGCTGTAGTGGAAGTGAGAAGGTCGAAACGAGGACTGGACTTCAGAAGTGAGGATTGGGATTTAGCGCAGCAAACCCTCTTGGCCAACCGCTCTGATATGATGTTTAATGGGTGTAAACAACTTGTTTCAGTTCTGTGCCATTTTTGTTCACACCATACTGGATAGGTTTTCCTGTTGGCACAAACAGCTATCTGTTATAGTGTGAACACAGCCTGAGTTACATGCAAAGAAAGATTCAATACCAATCAGGTCATTTTCTAGTATCTGCACACAATGCTCAAGTCAACTTTTTCTTCATGAACACCTCTGTTCGACAGAAACTTCCTTAAAATGGACACCAGTTGCAGTTCCTCTGATTTTTCAGTCAGTCTCTACAGAACAGATTCTTTGTGCCAGCTCCAACAGCATCCAGATAAGAAAAAGTTTACTGCACCATCATCTCTATGATCACAACCTCAAGGAAGCACCTTCCTGATCTGCGATAAAAACAGTACAATACCTGGCATACCTAACAGCTGCTTGTTGGCATCTTTAGAAGCCAGTGGAAAATTTCTGTTCTTCTTAAGATCTGTGCGGGCAATCAAAGATACCAATTCTCCCTTCTCATTAACGATCGGAAGCTTTCCTGTCATACAAGAAGAAGCATTGTATATTAAAAATGGACCATATACTAGCTTTCCTTTGATAACTGTACTCAAGAGGGACAAAGGGCCCTCTGCAGTTTGTCAGTAATGTGGTACAAAAATGCCAAGCTTGAACTTATGCTTTACGAAGTAGACAGTGGTAAATACAGCATTTCATCAATTGTATGTTAGGTATCAGGTCAGATTGTTAACCTTTTTTGCTCCTTTGCAAAATGCTGTTGGCTTCTTGAAGTGTCACACCATCTTTAGCAACAACCAGGTCTTCTCGGCGTGTCATCACCTGCATAATAATATTATATAATGCGCATCACACAAGAGGTTTGTCTCTTTGTTACCGAAATTAAAGTTTACCCATCAACAAATTCATAAATTAAAGGTAAAGGAAAAGGTATATTCAAGCAAAGTGCAAAAACACAAAGCTAAAGCTTAAACTGGTTTGGGTCGCCTGAATCACCAAGGAGTAAACAGGGTTCTCATTAAGTTCTAAAGTAGACAGGTAGGATGTTAAAGTAGATGGCTCGGCAGTCAAGTGCTGTAGGCAATTTGAGGCTTTCACTCTCTCCCTTTACACCCATTTTCCTCCAAAAGTAGGTGGCTCAGACCTCAAAGTAGCCAGATTTTTAACCAGTTGCCAGCACTTAATGAGAACCCTGAGGAGCTACTTGCCCTTGGATAAAAGGTAGCTTCACTGCAGGGTTAATCTAGCGGTGTATCTCACACGGTCTTATTTACACAGTGTACACCTGGATGAAAGGTGACGTAATGATTCCTGCCCAAGGATATGATGCAGTGGCAACGGTTAAACCAGGCCTAGAGATCTTACATTCCATGTTATAACTGTCCAGCCACTACTTTTCCATTGTGGGTCCTCTAACTGGGAGCCATTTGTTTTATTGAATTACTTTATAATTTCACAGACTGCTCATATAAACTGTCGGCTGGCACTGGACATACACATACAATCCAAGTCCCCACAACGCCACATCATAACTGGGCAAAACGAAAGTCCCTGGAGGTGATTCATGTATGTACATTGTACTTGCACACAGAGCACACATTAATTTAGTGGACACTTAGCAACAACTTTATGTGCATTCAGTATAACAAAAATCAATTTGGATAGTAACATGTATTGTCCTTCAGGAATCCTAAATTAAAGACTACTGTACAATCAAACAGATAGTTTCATATTTGCATCTGTTACCTCTTTTATAGGCCTGGACATGTCTGGTTCATGTGCGAAGTCAATATCTCGTGATGTGATGATGCCCACCAAGATTCCACCCATACGTCCATTTTCTGCAGAAAAAACAAATGGTTAGAGAAAATCACAATACATGCAAACAACTTGCCAGGTACAGGGATAAGCAATCATCCACAACTGAACAGTTGACGAGTGGCAAACCTAACCCCACCCTCCTTCTTCAGGAGATAGGGTGCTCAGTAATATTGTGGTCTATCTCTAACGTTATGATTGCTGTGCCTATCTATGTACATGTACATTTTGGCTATTTTAAAGTTTTGCAGGGATTGAACTGGGTTGGTGCTGTGTCAAAAAGCACTGCAGGATTGGTTTGGAAAAAAAAACCAGCTTGCTGAATGGAATAACCTAACAGATTGCTTCATGCTGCACAAGCCTTCCACCTTTTGAAACAGTTTAAACCATTAACTTGTACCTGTAATGGGGATCCCAGAGAACCCATGTTTGGCTTTGGCCTCTGTAACATCTCCGACACAGTTGTCAGGGCTAAGAACCAATGGATCCAGAATGAAACCCTGTTCAAACTTCTTGACCTTTCTTACTTCATTCGCTTGGAACTCCACAGAGCAGTTGTGATGGATTATACCAATACCCCCATTCAGCTGATAATGAAGGAGAAAGCATAGTCTTTTTTGTTTTGTTTTCATTTACCTAAGGCCTATATTAATATACTAACAAGTATAGTCAACATTTAATTCACATCCGTTAATTAACCTATTCTGCTTTGATGTTTGTTTGACATGTGCTAGAATGCTGATATCTTTTTTCTCAAATTAAAGGTTACAGTTTTATTTTCTCCTTGTATTTTAGTATGGTAATCAAGTGATGTATGAGTTTCCAACACAAGAAGACAAAATTTGCACCAAAGATAAAAATGAACCACACGAACACATTACGTTCATACGTGTATTCTCAAGAAGGTTTGAGCAGAGAAAATATTGTATGCAATCACAATCATTTTAAAAATAATAAAAAAACACAAAATGCAGAGGACTAGAGAGCCTTAAAGCTATGTAAATGTGCAGTTTAAAAGGTACAAATTAACATTTTCGTATATGACCTATAATACTTACAGCCATTGCTATAGCCATGGAAGATTCTGCAGAGAGAAGGGTATAATGTGATAGAAAGTTAAAAAGTACAAAACAGCATGAACAAGATTGTGAGACTTCAAACATTTTTGTGATCACTACAATGTATGTCCATTGATGTTAATGATTAGAATAAATTGTCCAGTTTCGAGTTTGCTATGACCGTTGCATAAAAGAAGTGAAGAAGCATTTTCAACCGCTTACTCATTGTCATCAAGACAGCCGGAGACCATCATCATGAGGAGAAAGTGGGGTGGATTGGGCACGTGCTTAGGAAAGACACTGGTAACATTACCCACTAAGCCCTACAATGGACACCACAAGGCAAGCGCAAGAGAGGCGGATCGAAGCACACCTGGCGATGAACAGCCGAAGGAGAGATTAAGACCCTAAACCACACCTGGGGTACCATCTGGAAGCTGGCCCAGATGAGACAGGAGTTGAGGGCCTTCGTTGCCACCCTTCATGCCAGTGGGCATTGTGCGCAGTAAGTAAGCCTCCATCTGAAGTTAATACGATCACACATTCCAACAAAAAGAAGACCTGTTTATTACTCTGTCTATTGTGCATTTTCAAATTTCAAACACTTACTCGCCGGAATTTTTGAATATTTTACTTTAAGTCAAGGCTAACCCTGTATGAATGTGTCGTTAACGTTTGAATTCAACGGTAATTTTTAATTTCAAAATTGGACTTTTGCCTTACCAGTGACTGTATCCATTGGAGAACTGACCAGTGGTGTCTTCAGTGTGATTTTTTTAGTCAGGGCCGAGGTTAAGTCCTGTACGGTTTACAACAAAACAAAAATATTAATCCTGAAACAGAGTTCCAAAATATAACACTTAAGAAGAGAATTCACGTTAAATCTGTTAGTCTAGGATTTGATGCTTGTATGCGCTACATATGATTAGATGAAATTGAAGGGGAAAATGCTCTTCAACAAAAGGAAAAGGAACCCGGATTAAAATTTGAACTCAGATAGATTAAATCGGCTTTTCAAACATCTGGGCCACGCTGGATTTAGATTTTGTCTACATATAACAAATTAATAAACTCAACTCAATTCTAAACTATTTTTGACAGTTAAGTAGCACAAAATTCAAAATTATTCAAGTGTCCAGATTCACATCTTCTCAAAGAAACCCAACCACAGATTTTGCTTAAAAATCAAAATTACTCCAAACACCCAGGTGGGAACTCTAAATCTCAAGCGACGGGGATGACTAAAGGATTTTTGGGGATTTGAAATTTTCCAGTCCGAGACTTTTTTGGGTAGGAAATTTTCTCAAGTATGTTTTGGGTGTCTTGATTTAAGTAGGGATTCTTTTTAGATATATTCAAAACAATCTGAAGATTTGTGGTAGCGCCTGCATATCCTGGCCATGCGGTTCTGCGAATAAAGTAAAACCAAACTTGTTTTGAAAAACCCTAATTTTTTGTGTTATATCATTTAATGATTTCTGGAAATTTTCAAGGCGCTAAATTCGGCATGGGATATTTTTAGGCTAATTTTTGTTCCAGGGATTTGTCTCGATTTGTTGGAAGCCCTACCTAAGGGAGTTTTTTGGGTTTGATTTTGGCCCCCATTCGATCATCCCCACTATTTGAAATCCAGAGTAAACCCCCCTGGGTCCAAATAGGCTCTTCTTTACACCACAGACTGGTTACTGCAAGAGATTCCACTCTAATAAAAAAAATCTGGAAGTAACTTACCACTTCATCAGCTGTAAAATCAATAAAGCCTGGGAGAATAATGAAATCACTGAAAAAAGACAACAACAAGAATTTACTGGAAGAAACCTCATATTAAAGGATCACATTTACAAGTGGTGTGTTAGGCATTTGAACAAATATTTATCCTACAGGGCCGAGTTGTTCAAAGCTGGGTTAAGATAATCCCGGGTTAGTGCGAGATTTGAATTCAGATTTGAAAGCTTAAAAGGCATTTCAGTTTTAATTCTTTTTGTCTACAAGTTGATTATTGGAAGCTCTAAAAATAAGGGAGAAAATTATCCGAGAAAATGCTTTTGAACGCAAGAAAAAGAAACCTGGGTTAAATTTAACCCGGGTTAAGCGCTAATCGGCCTTCGAACAACTGGGCCGAGAAGGTTAATTTACATAAGTTTTTAACCTAGATTTCAATCATTACAATACCGGGGGGTTGCCATGGAGGGTATAACAGGCTGATAAAGCTTCACTTTAATTGGTACACAAGTCTGATGGAGACAACCTTCTTCTACATGTACATGTAACAGAAGAAATGCAGAAACCATGGACACTTATCATTGTTCATGGAATTTTTTGGTTGATTCCAAAGATAAAATAGCTCCTGCCTTTACTTGCAAACCCATTATGAATAAATAAGACGTGAACTTTCCGTATAAACGGCACATTTCCTCTAAAATAAGATGCTTCTTATTTTAGAACAGCCCTTAACACCTGTTCTTAAATAAGACGCGTCTTAACTAAGATGAGAAAAATTTCGTAGAAAGGACCTTTGCGTCTTAAATAAGACCAAACGCATAGTACGCACACATTAATTTTTGGCGCACTACGTTGGATTGCTGTTGCTACGGGCAACATTCACATGAAAACCAGTCAAATACAGAAATAAGACGCAAACCATTTATACGAGCTGTTCTCGTCTTAGATAAGACATGCTCGTATAAATGGTACAGTTCAGGTCTTACTTAAGATGAGTCTTATGTAAAAAGCGTCTTATTTTTCCAGGTATAAATGGCCCTAATGTTATGTAAGCTTAATTAACTCTGGAGGAAAATAAAATTTTTGCTTATATAACAAACGTGAAAAAGTGCATGTCAAGAAAATACACTCCTTCCCTCTCACTAAAAGTCACTTTTGAAGAATTCATATTTTTGTCTTGAATAAAAATAACTTTGTGCTTATTTACATTTACTAAAAAGTTCGACCAAATGTGACTTTCCGCACGAAATCACGCAATCAAAATAGTATCAAAACCAAAATTAAAGCAGAAGTCATTGAAATGACTCTTTGCGAATAAAATTTAGAATTATTCCAGAAAACCTTGTTTAAACCATAAATGCGGGGAAATAGTTAAAACCTTTCTTCAACCTAGGGGACAAACGTGTATTTTAATAAAGCTTGCAAGAAAAAAGCTTGAAGGAGGAAAGCACAATGCAATGCAATCGAAACGAGCTAATTTCTTCATTGTTTGGTCAGCAAAATAATTTTCTCTGGTTTATTGAACAGATTCGCACTCATACCCAGCTTTTCCCTTCTTATATTTCACGAAAATTAACACGAAATTTCCTCATTTTATTGGAAAGTAGTGATATCTAGAAGAAAAAGACAATTCACTCACTTGTAAGTAAGTCCTTCTCCCGCGTTGAACAGCTGCATGGCAGTCAAACCGTCTTGAGGAACATATCCAGTTCCTCCAGCTATCAAAAACTCGGCCATGGTGTTAGTCTGGTGCTGCATGTTTTCGCCCTTAAACATGAAAGAAAACGTGAGCTTGGGGAAGCTACAGCTCGGCCAAGAAACCTTGTTTTTTCTGGCATCAAACGGAACTGTTTGGTGATTCAAAATGGCCTCAGAGTACACGTGCGTGAAAATAACCCGAGGGGAAGTTGGGACCGGATGTTGGGCTCAATACATGACGCTATAAAGTGACGCTATATGCATGAGGTCATACATGACGTGTCCCACAAAGCATTAGTTCCAAAACGCAACTTAAACTTTTTGTCAGAAATCACGGCCTGTGTTATGCGTTTTAGATGGCAGGCGAGAAATATTTTGGCACTACATTTAAAATAAAGTTTTAGGCGCCGTTTCTTGATTTTTCTGAGTATATTTAATCTCGGTCCGCGGGAAGGTAAGAACTCACCTGTACGCGACACGACTCCCCCCCAAAAAATTTTAAACTTTTGCACGCAAAACGTAATCTTTATGCTTTTCATTAACACAATCATAGATCGATCCATCAAACTAAATTTATACAACCTATATAGTTTTGTAAAGATCGACCTTAACCTCCCAAACCTCCTGCTTATATTTCTTAGAGTTTGTAACGCATTTTTATCAAACTTTCACTGTTTCACTTAACTTAGTATGATGGATCGATACATGAAAATGTATGTTTGTTTCTATGGAAAACACTCTAATTGCAATCTTGCGTGACATGACATCAGTAAATAATCCACTGAAACGAAACGTGCAATTGAATTTAAAATTCAAATCGGAAGCGATCCATTCAATTCTGTTTTCTAAAAGCGTAGAGGAAGTAACCTGGTATTAGAATTTCTCTGATATGTTACTTTGAATTTACGTTTGTGGCTTGAAACTCGAGTGTAAAATTCGTGTTTAACCGGGGTGTGTAAGTGGGCGTTTTTCAAACACCATATCCAGTATGGTAGGCGGAATGGTGCAAAATTCAACGAATCAAAATCACCACCAACATCAACAACCAATCTGCAGTTCAACATTTTTTTTCTACATCAACAATAAAATCCGTCCAACTTCAACGATTAATATAATAATCAACCATCGAAATATGCCTAATTCAACAACTAGAGAAAATCAACATCAACAAAAATTCCTCTTTTCTTCAACGACGATTTGCCTCTTAACCAACGTCGGACATCGACTTCAACAACAAAACACGTTCAACAATTTGGGGACGAACGACTGGCTATGGTCGAGGGAGGTTGGTACACAGAAATTCTAATCACAGGGCATGCTGGGAAATAGAGACACGATGAAGAGGACAGAATCAGGCGATGTGTCCGAGAGGAGTTAGAGCTAAATCTTGTATCCAGGACAAGAAATTTAATTCATTCGGCGGCTTCGAGTTCTGTACCTGAATTAA